CTATAGATTCAGTCTCTTTGTAGAGACTGACAGACTGCCTATCTCGAATCTAGGGACCGGAACATGCTGGGCAAGTGCTCTACCACTGAATCATATTTTTAGCTCACTGATCTTTTTTTTTTTTTTTTTTTTTTGGTTTTTCGAGACAGGGTTTCTCTGTATTGTTTTGGAGGCTATCGGTCCAGCCCAGCCTCGAACTCACAGAGATCCGCCTGCCTCTGCCTCCCAGGTGCTGGGATTAAAGGCGTGCGCCACCACTGCCCGGCGCTCACTGATCTTTTAAAGTAATATGGCTATTCCCATATGGTCAGTCTTGAGTTGAATATTACAAGAAAAATTATTATTGGGGTTTGTTAGTATCAGTGTTGGCTCCATAGACTAGGTTGAATTCTCTCTCTCTCTCTCTCTCTCTCTCTCTCTCTCTCTCTCTCTCTCTCTCTCTCTCTCTCTCTCTCTCCCTCCAGTCTCATAGAACAGGTTAGCTATGAAGCTGTGTAGCTGATGATAAGCAGACCCTATAAGGTTCATTAATTTATTAGTCATAAAATATTATTGTAGCATTCTTTTGTATATTAGTAAGGTCACCAACTTTACAACTTGTATTTCCTCTGGAAATAATTTTCTATTTTTATGAAATGCTAAGTTATGAAATTCCCACTTGGATTTTTCCTCCTACAATGTTTTCAATATTTTTTTTGGTATTGTAACAGGCAACAATGGATTGATTAAAAAATAGAGAGATAATGGTGGCATTTCAAGTTTTGAACCATAAAACCAAACAAGAGAATGTCTAAAATAGTTTCTAAACAACAACCTGAAGCTTAGTTAAAAAAGTATCTCATATCAAATGGATCTAGTTTATCCTTTCTTAAAAAATGGTTTATTGTGTGCATAAGTGTATAGTATGGTATGGTATGTGCTGCCGTTCCCTGTAGAGTCTAAAGGACAACCTTTAGGAATGTTCTCTCCTTCCATTGTGGATTATTCACCAGAGAAAATTGCTCAGAGACGGGTTTAAGGCAATATAGAAAAGTCATCTATTAGCTAGCTGGTGACTATACTGGGTGTTCAGGATCCCAGTACCCCAAGCATTCCTCTAGGGGAGTTTTTAAGCACAGAACTTGTCTCCTGGTTGACACACTTCGGTTAACAAGAACAGTTAGCCAGAAGAGGAACCACAGAGGTCAAAAAGCAAGGGTAGTACATTTAGAGACTTTCCCAGAGCTAAGTATAGACTTTGATGGATGAGGCCTTTGTTTTAGTTTTGGCAGGTGGTGCTATCTACGTGCTGAGTTTTACAGCCTGAGTGTGTACTTCCATCATGAAGTCAGCTGCACTGAGGGGCCTGTTATACTTCTACCATGTGGGTCCCAGGGATTTAACTCACTATATCAAGATTGACAGCAAGTTCCTTTACTGGCTGAGCCCTGTGGAAGGCCTCAATTAATTTATTTGCTCAACATTTGTTTCAATGTCTTCATTCTTAGGTAGCACATTGATTTATTTAAGATCAAAGTGAGGGTTGGAAGGTGTCTTTCTGTGGCAAGCCAAGTGTGTTGCATGTACCAGGCAGGCTCTGCCTCCCTCTCCCCCCAACATAGTACATCAGGTGAAAAGATGACTTTTCAATATATTTATAATAGAATTGCAGAGGACTTATAGCTGCAGAGTGGTTAGATTTTGTTGTTTTGTTTTTTTGAGACAGGGTTTCTCTGTGGCTTTGGAAGCTGTCTTGGAATTAGCTCTTGTAGACCAGGCTGGTCTGGAACTCACATCCACCTGCCTCTGCCTCTGGAGTGCTGGGATTAAAGGCCTGTGCCACCACTGCCGGGCTCGATTTTGGTGTTTTTAATAGTTAGCATTCACTGTCTCAATATAAAGTTAAGAGAGTTGTGCTGTCAACGGTTAAGGCTTTTGTTTGTTTCATTTAAATACAGTTCAGATACATGACAAGTATTTTCCTAGTTGCTAAATGCTCTGTTCCTCCCAGAGTCCAGCATACACTACGGTCGTAGCTCTCATGGTTTGGGAATGGGAGCTGGGTGAGAAGCCGATTGCCCAATTAAAACACAATCAAAACCAGGATTCGTTCCAGGAAAGTCAGGTACTTCCACTTTTAGCTGGCAATTGGGACTGTGAGCAGAGACTGCCCTGAGCAGGGTTAAATACCAGAATCAAACTCTAATGCTGAGTTTAAGTGACAGGCAGGTTGCTAATTACAACTTGGAAATCCTTCAAGGAATTTAACGTTGCCCTGAAACATCAAAGTAATAACGGTTTTAGCCCTTCACGTAGCCCAGCTCTGAAAAGAATAGCAAGTGCACGCGCTAAGGGTTCTTTCTTTTGCAACTGGTTTCCAATCAACCCCGGCTCGCCCATTTATAATCTGATTCACTATTCTGGCAGATCGAGTTATGCGGTTTCCGAGTCCGCACGGACTTTAGGCTTCGCGTCCTTCACAGTCACGCTCACGCCAACCTTGAGAAAGCCCCCTTTGGCGTCTGGCAAAATAGGAACCATCCCATGACGCAATCGCCCAGACGGCCCGTCCCGACGCCGAGTGCATACGAAGAGACTCCGGAGACAGCCGAAGCCGTCCGGGTTTTCTACTAAGTGCGTTTAGCCCTTTTACAGGCGGAGAAAAACGCGGCGCTTCCGGGCGGGGGCCGAGCGGGGCTGCGGACAGAGCTGCGTCGGCTTTCCGGTCGGCCCTTCCCTCTAGACAGGCCAGCTAACTGCTCTAGGGGCTCCTCGAAAGGAGGCCGAGTCACCACTCGGGGGGTCCCCCGTCCCCCTCCTCCCGGCTGCCGCAGGTCAGGCGCAGGCGGGCGCCACCCGCCGCCGGGCGAACGCAACGCGTCTTCGCGCGAGACCCGCCACGCGACTTCCCAGGAAGCCTAGGGCGACGTCCGCACAGCGGTTTAGAGGCGCGCCTGGGCGGGCGGGGGGGGCGGGGCCTGCCTCGCTATTTAGTGGCGCCGAAGGCCACGCCCCAAGTCGGAAGTGACGGAGCCGAGCTAGCGCGTCGAGGCTGCCTCTATGGTTTTGCCTCTCCGGCTGGAGTCGGGAAATGGCCGCTGTGTAGTTACGACGGAGAGAAGTCCCGAGAGCCGTGCCTCGGCGTGTCAGGTAGGCCTTGCGCCGCGTCCGGGGGACCCAGGAGCGCCGTGGAGACGGGGCGGTTGGGTACTGGCAACTCTTTGGTGCGTGGTGACGGGTCGGCGGCCCGAGGAGCCTGGGAGAGACCCTGCGCCGTTATTTATGTGTTTCCTCATCGGCTCCTGGTTTTTTTCTTCGTCTTTTTTTTTTAACGTTGCCATGGGCCGCGGCGGTGGGGGATGGGGAGCCGTGCGGACATCGGGCAGGGCTGCGAACCTGGCTCCGGGCCGGAGACCGTGCGGCCTCCCCGTGCGCGTGCGCAGACGCCGCCCCCGCCCTTCCCCCACCCCTTTCGGCCGGGACTCCTGCGCGCGCCCGACCTCGGGTTCTCCGCAGGCGTGCTTTTTCCCTTTCTTCCCTGCCTATGGCAACGCGGTCGCGTGCGCTCCCCTCGGTTCCGGCGTGTCGTTGACCCTGGGGGTGGGGGTAGGGGGGCGGGGTGCCTGCCCCTCCCCGCCTGGCTCTGTGGGCTTGGATAAAATAACGGTGACCTGCGACAAAGTCAGGCGAGCGGATCCACCGTTTCCTGCGTGGCGGTTAAGCTGCCTTCCTCGCCTCTCCGGTACTTGTCAATTGAGGCAGGCCCGGTGTAAGTTATCAGATCGAGGCTTGGGCTCTGTTGTTGTTTGTAACCGACCGTCCAGCACCTGGGTGTCGGCGGGAAAGGTCCCCTCCCCCCGTGCGAGTTGTTTTGGTTTCTTAGCAACTCACTCTGGTTTGGGACAATCGTTCACTTTGGACTGTAGCAGTCGGTGCCTAGTTACTGTTTTCGAGCGTGAGATTAGGGTCCTAACGGGCGCGTCTAAGAAGGGTCCTTCCTTTCTCCTGTAGTACAAGCTGTCGTACCTTTGTGGTAAGAGTTGGCACTCAGACATTTGCTCAGGCCATTGGCAGTGGTGATTGGTAGGGTAAATGGGTGAGGAACATAAGTTGAAGTAGTAACTCCGTCGTCCAGTCCTGACCTCGAACTTGCAGCCAATCTGGCTTAGCCTCGGGAATGATGGGATAGCCGTCTCGTGTCACTACTTCGGGTCCCTTTTGAATTTTATGATTTTTTTTTCTTGGCCTGAGCAGTGGCCAGAGTATTGGATCTGTGTATCCCAAACTGGCCTCTTTAAGTCCAAGTAGCTTCTAACTACGGGTCTTCCATATATTTATGTGTTTGGGTTGTAGACGTGCAACACCATGCCCAACATATTTTAGTTCTATGTGATCAAAGTCGGGCATCAGGGCATGCCTTTAATCACAGCTCTTGGGAGTCAGAGGCACGCTGGTATACAGAGCGAGCTCCAGGACAGGCAGGACTGTTAAAGTGAAAACCCTTTCTCGAAAAACCTAAGTTTGGGGATCAGTACTGCCTACATAATTTTTATTTTTGTGTTAGAATTGAAAGACAGAAATTGAAGGCAAATGCACCCAAAACTTATGAAAACCAGCAGACTTACAGCCTGCTGCCACAAATACTATTTTGGTTGTTTTTGTTTTTTCGAGACAGGGTTTCTCTGTGGCTTTGGAGACTGTCCTGGCTGGTCTCGAACTCATTGAGATCTTCCTGCCTCTGCCTCTTGAGTGTTGGGATTAAAGGCGTGAGCCATCACTGCCCGGCTCACAATTTTATTTTTTATGTTAAAAGGGGAAACACATACCAAAGTTTCTTGTCCTCAATTTTCACTCAAGATAGCTCTTACTGGAATAGTTGGGGTACTGTTAGGTAATGAAGACCTTTACATAGGAAAGACTTACTCGTTTATTTACATTTTTTTTGTGTGTGTGATCCTAAACCAAATTCAGGGTATGGTGATGAGAAGTGTGTTCCTAAGTAGTCCATAATAAACTGAGTTTTCCTGTGTTGAAGTAACAGACTCGAGCTACTGCCATAGGCAGTTCTGGTGCTGGGGATCAAACTCAGGGCTTTGTGCATGCTGAAAAGCACTGGATTTTGCACACCCACATCCTAGAGCTGATGATGTCTTAGTAAACAATAGTTAAGGACTTCACAATAGAGTTGGTAAAAGCACTACTGAGTATTAGGCTTGCATCTAGTTGACTTTATTGAACACCTTATATGGGGAGCAAACTAAGCTCCACTAGATTATCTGTGATGTAAAAGAAATAGAAAGTTTTTCAGTTGTGTATTAATCCATGGATTGGGAATCCCCAGACCTGCGTTTACAATAATTAGCTGAACATTATCCACTATTTGAAATCTGTATAATTTTGATTTGTTAATAAGAGAATCAAGGAGACTAAGTGTGTCTCTGAGTAGTAATTGCAAGTGGTTGTAGTTGGAGGATGAGTTTATTAGTATCTAACTTAAATATTCTGAAAATTACTAGTATTACCTCTGAGTCATAGCATTGAATGTTTTTGACTACTCAAGAGTGAAAATCAGTCTGACCATGAATTTCATAAAACAATAGTAGTAACCTACATTTATTTAATGTTTTAGGACTTGCTAAAACTTTACTTGATCCATCATTTCTCCATTTTTGTAGATGGAGCCCAAAAAGGTATGAAACTTAAGGCCACGTGAGCCAGGGAGTGTGGCACAATTTGTTTAGAGTGCACTGTGGTTCTTAATTCAAGCTTTAAAAAAGGTGAGAAGTAGCTGGAACAAGCTAAAAGTTTGAGTAACCTGTTTTAGTTTAATTACAGAAAGTGTCTAATACAAAAGTAAAATAGTGAACCAGGCATGAAGATACTTGCACCTTTATCTCAGCACTTGGGAGTTCAAAGCTAGCCTCATCTCCACATCGTTTCAGGATAGCTAGGGCTACACAGAGACCCTGTCTCAAAAAAAAAAAAAAAACAACAACAACAAAGAAACAAAAAGTTGGTTATGTTTACTAATTTTCAGAATTTGGTGTTTTGTTTAATTTTTTGTGTGTCCATTCTGTGAAGCATTTTAAACTTCCAAATGACTTTTATAGAACGGAATGACTTATAGACTACTTGTAAATGCTGTATTGAAAACATAGGAGTACTCTGAAACAGATGTTTGAAGTAAATTTATGGATAGCCTGTAGAAAGAAAACCTGTGACAAGGCTAACCACTAATTATAACTAATGCCTGAGTACACACCCAGTGTAGTCAGCTTAGCTTTTTCTATTCATTATTTACACATAAACTTGTAAATACTTTATTTGATACCTATAGAAATTCAGACTTCAGAGATTAATTTATCTAATGTTGAGTTGTAATTTAATGAGTGAACCTGGGTTTGAACCTAGTATACATAAGTATATATAGTAGAGTGTATTTTTCAGATTTTAAAAGATGTGAATGACAGTAATTTGCTTTAAATTTGGGTCCGGGATGCTAAATAAAAATTTAGTTTAAATATGCTTGAAATTAGCTGGTGGTGCACACCGTTAGTAGTCCTAGCATTCATTAGGTAGGTGGATTTTTGTGAGTTGAGGCCAGCCTGGTCTACAGAACTAGTTCCAGGACAGTCAAGGCTAAAGAAAGAAACCCTGTCTCAAAAAACAAAACAAAACAAAAACATAACAAAAAAAATCTCAAAAAACAAAAAAAGAAAAGGTTGAAATACTAAGGCAAAGAATGTAGTTTGTTTTGAGACACGTCTAGTTGAATAACCCTCCATTGTGGTAATTGTCATTTCTTCCATCCTTGTATAACTCAGGCTGGCCTGGAACTTAAGATTCTCCTCCCTCTCCATTGCTGAGAGCACATGTGTCCAGCCCTTGGCATGGTAGTCTTTGATAATGACCATTGTATGTCACATATTGTTGTTGGTCATATCATTGGTTTCAGCAGCCTACAGTCCATGTTTTTCCTCAGTTTTCTCTTTTTGGTGTGCCTTTCTTGGACCTTAAAATATCATGATTTGGAGTGAAGAGGCATGGTAGTTGAGTCTATGAATATATAGATAAAAATTAGCTGTTTGGAAATATTTAGGCCAAATGTTAGCAAAAATTGTTTCTAGTGGTGAAATCAGTGACAATGAGTGAAGTCAGAATGAAGTTTTATTTGTAGTGTTGTATATGCATATATGAGTATGTTAATGCCTGTGTGTAATGGGGGTGGTTTGAGGTTGACGGAGTGTCTTTCTCTATGGCTCTATTTTATTTTACTTTCTAAGATAGGGTATCTCACTGAACTTGGGTTCCCCAGTTCTCTAGGTTGACTTGGCAGTGATCTCCTGCGGCTCCTGTCTGCCTCCCAGTCCTCAGATGACTGGTGTGCATCACCTCCATACTAGCTTTTTACATGGGTGCTGGGGTCCAACCTCAAGGAAAGTGCTAGCCCAACAAGGACTTCAAACGCTGCTACCACCCTAGTATGAGGATGAAGTTTTCACAGAACTGAGTTAGAAAGTTAGCTTTTTCTCAAATCTAATTGGGGGTTTTAGTAATTAAAGCACTAAACTTGTACAAACTTTAGAAATACAGTTTGTGCTGGGCGTTGGTGGCGCATGCCTTTAATTCCAGCACTTGGGAGGCAGAGGCACGTGTATCTCTGTGAGTTCGAGGCCAGCCTGGTTTACAGAGTGAGTTACAGGATAGCCTCCAAAACAATACAGAGAAACCCTGTCTTGAAAAACCAAAAAAAAAAAAAAAAAAAAAAATACAGTTGTGCCAAAGCCCACTTGGGTGTTTGGTTTCATTGTTTTCTTGAATCTTCCCGTTTGAAGGGCAATGCCAGTTTATAGTGATGCTATTATTGATTTCTTTGTATTTCCAAAGTAGCATTTTAAAATTTAATCATTACATTGTAAGATTCATAGATTTTTATTTTAGTATATATGTCTCATTCATTTATGTGCTGGCCTTTTAACAACAGTTATATATTCTTTAGTTTACTTTCTGTTCTGGTGTGGGTGTTGGTGCATGCTTTAATTCCAACACTTGGGAAGCAGAGTCAGACAGGTCTCTTGAGTTCAAGACCAGCTTGGTCTACACAGCGGGTCCAGGATGGCCAAGGCTACACAGAGAAACTCTACCTTCAAAAACCAAAAACAACCAACCAACCTCCCTCCCCCCAACAAGAAAGAATCAGAGCAATTTCTGTTGTGATGCTTTTGGACCTCTGCATATTAACTGATAATTTCTGAACGTTATTCACAAAGTTGTAACCTTTTAGAGTTGATAAAGAATACATATCTTTAAATTTGCTTACATAGTAATAATTAGCTTAGGAGTATTGATTGATTCCCTATAGACTTATGTCAGATGTTTTTGGCATAAATTACTTTGGTTGAAGTTGAAGAAATTTTTAAAAATCAGTTTTAGATAATAGGAAGTTTTAAGAAAAGGAGCAGAGCTGGACTGTGGTGGTGCGTGCCTTTAATCCCAGCACTCAGGATGCAGAGGCAGGCAGATTTTTGAGTACCAGGACAGCTAATGATACACAGAGAAACCTTATCTTGAAAAGCAAAAGAAAAGAGAATCAGCAGAGCAAAAAACTGTTGTAGATGTTAGAAAATACAGCATTATGAATATTGAGTATATATAGGCTACTTACATGTTAAGTTGTTTACATAAGGCAAAATGATTCTGAGAGTTTTCTGATGGAATGGCATTTCTTCCCTAAAGGTCAGCTACAATTAGAAATCAGGTATCACTTGTGTGATACTTTGCGGCGTTGTGTCTAGAGAGTTTTTTTTTTTTTTGACAGTTGTGCAGGATCTCATGTAGCCTAGGATCTTGGAACTCATGGCGTAACTGAGAATGGATTTAAACTGATTCTCTTGCCTTCTTGCCCTAATTTGTGGATTGTAGGTGTTACTGTTGTTTCATGTTTTGTCCACATTGTGTTTGGTGCTTTTGGAGGCCATAAGAGGGTGGCAGACCCCTTGAAACTGGTTACAGGTAGTTGTGAACCACCGTGTGGGTTCTGAGAATTGAACAGTCCTCTGGAATAGCAGTCAGTGCTCTTAACCAATGAGCTGGTGCTCCATAGCTCAGACTAACCTAAAAAAATCACCATCCCCCTGCTTAGCCTTGCAAGTGCTATGATTATTTCCCATCATGATCAGCTTAGTTAAATTGTTATAATAAAAGGTTACTGTTTCCTAAGTCAGGCAAGGTACATGCCTGTAATTTCAGTACTTGAGAGGCCAAAGAGGAGGTTAGGGCTATGTTATTTATTGCTATTCCTAATATATGAATTATAATCAGTGCATATTTAGTTTACCATAAACTCACTCTTTTTGCTAGGAATTTGAATTTTGACTTTAATTTCCCATCACATTCTCTACAGGAAGAATCTTGGCAGTATCTTAAAGGCATCACTGACTTCCGGATCCTGCATAAAGCAAAAGGTAAATGACATTCATGTTCTATAGGTTTTGCTTTTGACTTACTTGAGAAAATTGACTGCCAACCTGAATCAGATGAAGTGATTGAGTGTTGTAAACTGTCTTTCGATATATAGCTCAAGAAAGAAGTAGGCTACTTGCCTAATGTGGCAAGCCTCTAGTACTACCAAAGTTGTCTGGAACTATTTATTTTGGGGGGTGAGGTGGGAGATGTTTTCTATAAGCTCAGATTTTGAGTTACTTTTAGGAATTAAATTTTTTTCCATTGTATATTATCTTTTTCTGCTTCTATAAATGCAGTTTTCTAAGACTCAGGACACAAAATGCCATTTAAATATAAAAGGAAAGCACCAGAAGCCTCAGATTTTGAGACAGTCTTGTTCTGTAGCCCTGACAGATACCCAGTGCTGAGTGAAACTCCTCTCTTGAAACGGGGTCTCTCTCTCTCTCTCTCTCTCTCTCTCTCTCTCTCTCTCTCTCTCTCTCTCTCTCTCTCTCTCTCTCTTTCTCTCTCTCTCGCTCGCTCTTTCCCTCTCCTCTCCTCCCCCCCCTTTTCTGGACTTACTAAGAGCCCAGGCTGGTCTTGAATTCACATTATCCTGGTTAGGCTCTGAACTTGAGATATTTTTGCTTCAGCCTTCTAAGTAGCTAAGAGTGCAGGTCTGCCACCTATGCTAGCTACATAGATGGTTTAAAAATTTTGTAGTATTAATCTAAATTTAAACTGAAAAATAAAAAAAAAATTGTAGTAGTTTGAAAAAAATGTGTAGACCATGTAGCTTAGAAATAATTGAAAAAATTGCAAAAAGTCACTTGCATGTAAATGCTTAGATAATACTTTATATCACCATAAAATATGTACAGGTTAAGATTTATGAACACAATGCGTGGGTTCATTTGCTTTTGTAAAATATAAACAAATATAACCTGGCCTTGTGGTTGTGGTGCACTCCTTTAAAGCCCAGCAGTCAGGAGGCAGAAGTAGACAGATCTCTGAGTTCGAGGCTGTATGGAGTGAGTTCCAGGACAGCCAAGGGAACACAGAAAAACCCTGTTTCTCTGTCTCTCCCTCTCCCTCCCCCCCTCACACTCACACTCACAGGTGCAAGGTGCAGCATTAAATAGTGATTTTATTAACTCCTAGTACATACTACAATGATTTCATAACTACTTTTATAACTTACTTATTGTTGTAAGCTTAGGTGTAGTGAGTAGCAATTTAACAATGTAATATTGATATCTTCATGTGAGCAGTTTTCTTCAATAAATTTTCTGTTGTGTTTTTTGCAGCATATAACATATAACTATGTGCCAATTTTGTTATATTAGTAAGGCTTTTGGTCAACAGTACGCTATTAGTATTTAAGGTTGGAAGTCAGAATTTGGTTGTATGTGGAAGTTTGACTGCTTGGATGTTAGTGTCCGGGATGTCTGTTGTTTAGGGTTAAACTTATATGGCAAAAAATAGGCTTAAAAGGCTAAGACCATATTTGTCTATATGTGTATATGCTCCTGGGTGTTTTCCTTCTGAATCAGTGAAAAAATGTGACATTTGGTATGTATATGCAATGATTTAACATTTTTCTTAAGGAAAAGCACATTTTTATAGATCAGTACTATTGCTGATTTCTGTGTCTAGTGAGGTCTGGTTCTATCAGTATTTAGAAAAATTAAGGTTCTGAAGCCTCTCCCCCAGGGTTTCAATGTAACAGCCCTAAGCTGTTGTATATTTTTAGATCAGGCTGTCCTTCCTTGAACTCACAGAGATCTGCCAGCCTCTGCTGGGATTAACAGCGTGAGCCACTATGCCTGACTTCTTTTGTTTTGTTTTTTTGAGATAGGGTTTCTCTTTTAGGGTCCTAGCTGTGCTAGAACTCACTCTGTGGCCCTGACTGTCCTGGAATTCATAGGAGATCCACCTATCTCTCCTTCCCAAGTACTGGGATTACAGGCATGGGCCACCAACACCAAAAAGAAAGAGCAGGAAGAAACACAAATCAAAATCAGTAAGCAAAAGGCTATTAAGAAAAAAAAGTAGCCAGACAAAGCAAAATGAGACAAAAAGTCTGTACTGTAGACACTACAGAAATACTCTTGTTCATTTTATGTTGGTCATGTATTTTCTGGGCATGGGGCATACCCTGAAGTGTGGTTAATACACCCATTGCAACTCCTTTGGAGAAAATTGATTTTTCCTTTGCTAGGTGTTTGCAGATAGCTTCTTAGTTAGGGGTGGAACCCTGTGTTCATTTCCCCCCTTAGTGCTGGGCCCCGTCTCTCTAGTCTGTATTGTGACATTTGTATGTTCTGTTTTCAGGTTTCTTTTCTGCAATACTCATTTAATTTTATCTTTTTGCAAGTGAGTTAGGTAGGCTTTTGTAATTGGGTATAGAAAAACATCTAACAACTCTTGACTGATACTACACTGCTCTTTCTGACTTCTGTAGTTGGTGCCTTTTGATTGAGGCACATAGGTGTTTATAGTTCATAGAACTATTTTATCTTGAGTATATAGTATCTGCTATGCAAGTGAAAGCTTAGGTCTGCTTTATAATAAGTATTCATTTGTAACAAGTAATGATTGTAAAAATACTGCTGGCATCAGGAAATAAATATCAAAATAATTTTTATCTGTATTGATTTAACCTATTTCTCTTTTGTTTGATTAGGAGAGAAGAAATGGGCCGCTCCAATTCTAGATCACATTCTTCAAGATCAAAGTCTAGATCACAATCTAGTTCTAGATCAAGATCAAGATCACATTCTAGAAAGAAGAGATACAGGTGAATTAATGGTTTCTGGCGCTTTTACTAATGAAATAGTAGCTAGTAATTGTGTCTGCTGTATACAGACCTAGTGCTAACTCCATTAATGTATTTCATTCTTAATGGATTTGATATTCTTATTTAGGGTTGAGATTGGGCATTGTTTAAGCTGTAGCCTAGTTTTCAACTGTGACTCAAGGTCTGAGGTTCTTACTGTACTGTGCTAATACATGATAAACTTCTTTGTATTTTTCCATATTAAGATGAACTGGATACTTTAAGAATTCTTTGGCACTGAATCATATATTGTTTTCTGATTTTTTTTCTTTATGAATCTGATTCTTTAAAGGCTGATTTCCCTTTGTTTTTGTTGCTTAAAAGTGATTCTTTTTCGAGCTGGGTGTTGGTAGTGTACATCTTTAATTCCAGCACATGAGAGGCAGAGGCAGGCGAATCTCTGTGAGTTCCAGACCAGCTTGGCCTACGAGAGCTAGTTTCAGGGCAGTCTCCAAAGCCACAGAGAAACCCTGTCTCGAAAAAATTAAAAAAAAAAAAGTGATTGTTTTTCTCAAATAATAATATCCATAGCACAGAAAGGAAGAGCCTACTGAGAATTAATACTAGTTTGTAATTTTTCTGTGTTGTATATAACCAGCTTTGCTGAATACCAGTGGCATTTCACTGTATATAATTCCATTTTCACTATTAGAAGTTCATGGTGCCATTTAAATTTATCTTACACAATGACTTTTAGTGTCAGACTAGTTATAGATATGTTGATACCCTTTCCCCTATTTCCTGTGCCTGCTTTCCCAAGGCCTATTGTTGTTTATCTTGGACATAAGCTTTAAACATACTAGAAACAGTAAACTTTCATACAAACTAGGTTTTAAAAGTATATGTAGTTGCTTACATGTTTTATTCAGCCTGATGTATCTAAAATGGCAGAATGAAGTACTTTATTTTTCTTAAATTGATACTTATTTCATTTTTAGTTCTAGGTCTCGTTCCAGGACATATTCAAGGTCTCGTAGTAGAGATCGTATTTATTCTAGAGATTATCGTCGAGATTACAGGAATAATAGAGGAATGAGACGGCCTTATGGGTACAGAGGACGGGGTAGAGGGTATTATCAAGGAGGAGGAGGTAGATACCATCGTGGTGGCTATAGACCTGTCTGGAATAGAAGGCATTCTAGGAGTCCTAGACGAGGTCGGTCACGTTCCAGGAGTCCAAAAAGAAGATCTGTTTCTTCTCAAAGATCCCGAAGCAGATCCCGACGATCATACAGATCCTCTAGGTCTCCAAGATCATCATCATCGCGTTCTTCATCCCCATATAGCAAGTCTCCTGTCTCTAAAAGACGAGGTTCTCAGGAAAAACAAACCAAAAAAGCTGAAGGGGAACCCCAAGAAGAGAGTCCTTTGAAAAGCAAATCCCAGGAGGAACCAAAGGATACATTTGAACATGACCCATCTGAGTCTATTGATGAGTTTAATAAGTCTGCCACATCTGGTGATATCTGGCCTGGCCTTTCAGCTTATGATAATAGTCCGAGATCACCTCATAGTCCTTCACCTATTGCTACACCACCCAGTCAGAGTTCCTCTTGCTCAGATGCCCCCATGCTTAGTACAGTCCACTCTGCCAAAAATACCCCTTCTCAGCATTCACATTCCATTCAACACAGTCCCGAAAGGTCTGGATCTGGTTCTGTTGGAAATGGGTCTAGTCGATACAGTCCTTCCCAGAATAGTCCTATTCATCATATTCCTTCGAGAAGAAGCCCTGCAAAGACAGTCGCACCACAGAACGCTCCAAGAGAGGAATCTAGGGGGCGGTCCTCTTTTTATCCTGATGGAGGAGATCAGGAAACAACAAAGACAGGAAAGTTTTTAAAAAGGTAAGAACCCAAAGTAGGGAATTTAGATTATCATAGTAATTATTTTAAAAAATGTTATAAGTAATGATTTAAAAATAACATTATGGTATGTGCTTAACTCTTTGTACTTGTCCTACTGATAATTCTAAATTTTAAAAATTTAAATGTTTCAGTGATGTTGCCATTCTTTGTTTTAATGTTAGCTGTTTTGGTCAGTTCACAATTAGTAATTATAAACAAGGAAAAACTAAGTAGCCTAAGATAACCAATGACACATTTTAAAAGCAATAATCAGTTTTATGTTAGGGATTTTCTTTTGCTTTTTACTTCAGAATGTGACAGTGTGGTGATATTACATATTCTTATGTGGTAATACAATCCTCCTGTCAATACTTAGTGAATTCTGTTTGGCTTGGAAAACACATCTTGATATTTCTCAGTGAGTCTAATAACATTTCAAGTACTGTGTTTAAATTCTAATTTCAAGCATTACAGAAAGAGATGCTAGCAAATTCATGATAATTAGGCTGCTAGTACAGTATCATTGACCTAAAAAGTAAAAAAGAACAACAAATATACTGTTTATAGGTTTTTTTTTAAGAGTGCAGCCTAGAATTTTTCCACTGAGCTGATGATTAGCTTATATTATTATCAGAAGTCATTATTTTTTAGAGTAAATTTATATGAACTATTTTGTGATTAAGTTAGTATTTAATCCAACAAAGTCTCTGTGAGTGCTCTTGTTTATGTTGATAGAAAACGGTAAATGTGGTGACATACTTGTAATCCTAGGAGGATCATAGAAAGTAGGAGGCTAGCCTGGGTTACTGCAAAATATAAAAGTGAAATCTGAAAATTTGAGCACACATAGATTGAATTTTAGTAGGTATTTATATAGCCTATTAGTGGTTCCTAACCTCAAAAAGTTAAAGATTTCTAAAATTTAGATTTATTAGTATAAAATTGTGGGTATTAACTGCATAGAATAGTTTTTTGAGGATGGCTTTACTTTAAACTTTGGGAAGTTTAAAAATATAAGTTCTGTCTGAGTGCGTTTAATGGTTTTAAGAACAAGGTTAATTTTCAGAAAGGTTATTTTCTTTTATTGGACAACATATTTAAATAAGCAAATTGTCTACAGTGAATGCAATCCAGAGTAACTGTGGTTTTTCTGGTTCACAGGTTCACAGATGAAGAGTCTAGAGTATTCCTGCTTGATAGGGGTAATCCCAGGGATAAAGAGACTCCCAAGGAGAAAGGATCAGAGAAAGGCAGGGCAGAGGGAGATTGGGAAGACCAGGAAGTTCTAGATTACTTCAGTGATAAAGAGTCTGGCAAACAGAAGTTTAATGATTCAGAAGGGGATGACACAGAGGAGACAGAGGATTATAGACAATTCAGGAAATCGGTCCTGGCAGACCAGGGGAAAAGCTTTGCTGCTTCATCTCACCGGAACACTGAGGAGGAAGGACCCAAATACAAGTCCAAAGTTTCACTAAAAGGCAATAGAGAAAGTGATGGATTTAGAGAAGAAAAAAGTTACAAACTGAAAGAGACTGGATACATAGTGGAAAGGCCTAGCACTGCAAAAGATAAGCACAAGGAAGAGGAGAAAGGTTCTGAAAGAATAACAGTAAAGAAAGAAACACAGTCACCTGAGCAGGTAAAGTCTGAAAAGCTCAAAGACCTCTTTGATTACAGTCCCCCTCTACACAAGAATCTAGATGCACGAGAAAAGTCTATCTTCAGAGAGGAGAGCCCGCTTAGGATCAAAATGATAGCCAGTGATTCTCATCGTCCTGAAGTCAAACTTAAAATGGCACCTGTTCCTCTTGATGATTCTAACAGGTAATTCCACATTGATGTCCAGTGAGTAACTTAGAGGTAGTAGTTAATGGTAAAATTATTTTCTGAACATGGAATTTCATTGAAACCAATGCTGTATTGTGTGTGTGTGTGTGTGTGTGTTTGTGTGTGTGTGTGTGTGTTTGTGTGTGTGTGTTTGTTTTTGATATATTCTAGGCCAGCCTCCTTGACTAAAGACAGGCTGCTTGCTAGTACGCTTGTCCATTCTGTCAAGAAGGAGCAAGAATTCCGATCCATCTTTGACCACATTAAGTTGCCTCAGGCCAGCAAAAGCACTTCAGAGTCATTTATACAACACATTGTATCCTTGGTTCATCACGTTAAAGGTATGCCTGATATATTTAGTATCATGAAGTAAACTATTCTTGCATGCAAAATAAGAAGAGTAGTTAAATTGTGCTAATTGAGCTAGAAGGGAGATGTATCGGTACTATTAAATATTCAACATGTGGAAAATACTTTGTAGAGAGGATACCAGTGTTATTAGCATTGAGACTAATGAAAATAAGATGAACAAATGACTGGAGTTAAAACATAAAAATTTGTGCCATGTCAAAAGTATAATACAGATTTGTTTAATGCTGAAAATTTAAGTATATCATAATAAATGTAAAATGAAGACTGTTTAAGACAAGATTGTCATATGCCTGTGACTTCGTGACAATGCATAAATTATAACTTTAGGCAGTATAGTTAATATTTTATTGAGAATTTATAGTTTAAAGAAATGTGAAGGCATTGGAAAAATAGTTGCTGAATTTGTGCTACTTTGTAATACTTCAGTTCTTTTGGTTTATGTAAAATAGTAATTTTAAAGCAGTAAAGGTTTAAGAAATTTACAGCTGTATTAGTGGTTATATGATTAATGACTAATTAGAAAAACAAGATATTTCTTTAGGTTGTAAAAAATAAAGGTTCATTTTATTTAGCTAAAGTCATAAATTTATTTTTTTCACCAGTACGTAGTTGTAGTTTAAAAGCTACTAATAATGTTCAAGGGTTCTAGGGTACAATTTTGTTTGGGGTCAATTAGATAAGTTTTGCTTTGGTTATTTTTGTGTTTACCAGGTTCTTTCCCAGGAAACTCGATCGATGGTTGTTGGTCTATTTTTGTTTTTCTTTTTTTGTAAAGTTGGTCTCAGGAACAACTCATAATTCCTGAAATTTGTTGCTCACAATTCCTTATACTGAATAATAGTTACTAAATTTCTTTTTGGCTATAGTCAGCATGGTAACAAGAGAGTCTTGCTGTTTGGCTGTAGATAAACTTGTGAACCATATTATCACCTGTATGACTATAGTATTGTGGCATATAAAATTAGGAAGCATTAACATTTTTTCTTTTTTTCAACCTTTTTTTTGACCTGCCTCCACACTTTATTGTTGGATTTTGAGATCAGATTTTGATAAATTTTTTTCCATTTTCATTTTCTTTTTTCTTTTTTTAGAGGATCTGTAGTTATGTTTCATAATTGGTGTTGTGCAACCGATCTGAACAGCTCTTACTTTATATAGAGCTGAAAATGCCCAGTGATGTTTTCTTTTTCATTGTAACTAGGTCCTGGAATATGTTTTGAAATGGCAAAATCCATGTTTCAAAGTAAAATAGCTGTTGAAAGATACAGGCAAAGTTGAATCTTCTGTCTTCCTGGCAAAAAATGGCATAAAAACTGAGTTGCTAGCTCAAATTCCTGGGTTTCATGGAATTATGATTGAGGCACTACCCTTGTAGTGGCCGTTTCAAGTTTTAATGATTGGTTATGAGACATGTGCTGGATATTGGGCGGTAAGTTGACACAGATGTATGTTGACCTGTTAAGCAGATAGCTTGCTTCATAATGTGACATTTCATAGTCATGAAATTTATGTCTCTATTTTACATTACAGCATATCTAAATCAGTATTGTTATTACTAATTTAAAAAATGCTTAAAGATACAGTATCATGTGCTGTCAGGTTTGCCAAGATGCCAGATTTTTTGGAGAAATTACTGAATGTAAATCAGTTTTAAAGTGTTTTTTTTTCTCAACTGAATGGCACTCGTCACTTTTTTGTAAAGCCATTTCTGTTGCTATGTCATCACAGTTAAAATAATTTTACTAGTTTACTTCAAAGTATCTGTATTCTTTATTTTTGCTCTCTGCAAATGATTGTTTGAATGACATCTTTGTTTAATGGCAGGGTTTAAGGACATACCATCTATTATTCCTTTTTGTTGTTTGAGGAAGTAGCTTACTAGCATGGAGTTAGATTCTTGACTAATATATTAATAGTTTTGGGGTTATATTTAGTATTGACAGGGACCTCTGAGGACCTTTGCAATCATGTGTTGAGGTACAAGGAAGTAACAAAGATCAGGAGTTTTTATTTTAACACTTGATTCTCTTCTGCTAGGTTTCTTGAATATTTTTATTTTCTTACACCTGCTCCATGCCCTTCTTTCACAAATGAAAATCCCTTATTAAAATTAAGATTCCTAATTCGCCAGTGTTTCTCCTAAATCAACAGAGCAATACTTCAAATCACCTGCAGTGACCCTAAACGAGCGGTTCACTTCATACCAGAAAGCCACTGAAGAGCATAGTACCCGGCAAAAGAGCCCTGAGATACACAGGTATGTATTGTACTGAGTTTGCATATAAATGTTACTATTGAAGGATACTTACACAAGGTTATATGGCAAGTGTGCTCATAACGAGATAAGTAAACTCTGGTTTCTTTTAGACTTAAATACTATTTTCAAGTTTAAAAAAATAATTTTTCCCTGATTTTTAGTTTACTTAGTTTTTAAGCTTGTTAGAACTTTAAAATACTAACCTAATCACTGAAATTTAAATAACTGTAGGTTTTGGGTGCCAGATTGGGGAGTGACTGCCTAAAGGAACCTCTGAATTTGCAGAGTTCGTCTGAAGTAAATGTGCTTAGGGAGAAGCAGAGTTTATCATAAAGAAGCATGAGTGCTGTCAGCCAGTGGGTTCTGGCACTTTGTTGTGTTGGGAACCAATTATTTAATGTCTAGACACCAGTATTTTCATCTAGTTACTTTACAGGATAGTGGTAAACCTTAAAAGTATCTAACTTGGTGCTTAGTTGCATAGATATTTTGGTGACGTGGTAAGGAAGCATTGAGAGGTTTAATAAGAGCTTAAAAAAGAAGGTACAGAATCACAAAAATTGAACCAAGTACATGAATTATAAGAACTCTTGGAAGCCAGTAATAATTTAGAGTGTTAATAGTAATACTAATATTGAATATATTAATGTGTTATAATTGCATGATTTAATATTTAAAATAATAATCAGAACATTTTTTTCTTTCTTGTGGTTAAAATGGCACTTTAAAAGGTCTTCTATCCTTTATATATAAAAATCTACCCAAACTGTTTTAATTGGTTTGTTTTGTGTCTGAGGCAGGATTTTCTGTGAAGCTTTGGCTGGCTATATACTAATGTGGTATATGTTTGCTCAAATTCAAAGGCATCTTTTTTTTTTTTAATCTCAACCTGTGGGGTACTGGGATTAGAGGCATTTGCTACCATATCCAGTTTTTCATTGAGTTTTTAATGTATATAATTTTTGTTTCTCATTTTAGGAATTAAATCAATAGACTAAGTGCCAAATTGGTTTATCTAGGAGAGGTGTAACTATCTAGTCTCCCCCAACAATGGGTAAAACTTTTCTTTTAAATCAGAAAGTAAATTATGTAATGTAAAATACACTTTATTTTATATTAAGGAGGATTGACATCTCTCCAAGTGCTCTGAGGAAACATACCCGTTTAGCAGGGGAAGAGAGAGTTTTTAAAGAAGAAAATCAGAAGGTATGCTTTTTAAAAATATACTTGATTTTCTTGTCAACCTGAGCTTAATGATACTATACTAAACATTGTTTTCTGAGACAAAATAATTAGATCTTTTTAAAATTTGTAAATGCATTATATTTATGGTGTTTTAATTTAAGCCAAGAATACTTTTTGAAAATGCTTCTCAATGGTAAATGTCAGCCCTAAGAATAGGGACTTGGTGAGTAGACAAAAGCTTATAAACATTATGATATAAATTGTGTTATGAGGTTTTGTGGTAAGACTAATAAGTTGGAATTTGAATGTGCCTTAATGTATTTCTGTTTCAAAAAAGTTACCCAAGGGCTGTTGGGCCTTTTAAGGGCAGCCAAGTTTTGACAACCCAGGCTGTTTTTGAGCTAATAGCAATACTCCTGAATGTTTAGCTTTACTGATGTGCACCATTTTTTATGTGATTTAAGAAACAGACATTTTCCCCCCCTTGGGCTCTTTCCTTTCTGTTTGTTTAGTCCCAATTCAGTTTATTTTGTCTTATTTCTTAACTGTTATCCCTTATAGAAAGTAGGTGGATCCAGATGGGAAGGGAGGCGAGGCAGAACTGGGAGGAACAGAGGGAGGGGAAGCCATCATCAGAAAGAAAAAGGCACTTTAGGCTGGATACAGCTTTTATTCCCTGTATCCAGGAGGCAGAGACAGGTGGCTCTCTGAATTCCAGGCCAGTCTGGCAACATCATGAGAAAGAAAAGAAGTAGGCGTCCTACAAACTTGCTAAGTACACTTTTGTTTCTATTGGACTACTTAGGAATAAACTTGGAAAGGTTTGTAGATCCTACAGGTAAGGTGAGGAAGCCAGAGAGGTTGGTGAGACTGCAGTGCAGTCATTAAGGGTTCTCATGATTCGAAGTTGACAATTTTAGGTATGCTAGTTCATATGACTGCAAAGTGTTTAGTAGTCTTACATGCAGCAGAGATAGGAAGGGATCAATTCTGTTTTGAACATGCTAAGAGTTTGGAAAATATCTTCTTAAACCTTGATTTTCATAATTAAAATAATAAGTCTGATTTGTGGAGTTGTGGAGTATTTATTTTGTGCTATCTTTGATTGTTTGTACCTGTATTGATAGGAACTTACGGTGCCAGTGTACACATTTTTTTCAATACGGTGTGCTACTAGCCGAATTGGTTTTGAAATCTAGATTTAGGGATAAGGTAATGTCTGTGCACAGGAGATAACAGTTTTGAAAAAATGGACTGAGGACTGAATTGGTTCAATACTATTTTAAAAAATCTTTTGACTCTCATACTTTAGATCTAATAAGTGTTAATTGTGTTAATTCCCGAAGCAATTCACTCTGTGTTTGTGCTCCGACAGTATTTTTCTCCTCTTAGCACTCAGACTGTCTGAAAGAGAAGTGATAGGTGATTAGGAGGACATGATAATTGGGTTTTGTCAAATTCCTGTCTTAATGAATAACATGTTAATATGAAATTATATGCCTAGCAAACCTTTACAAAGTAGTTTCCCTTAGGTTATCTTGTTTCTTGTGGAGTTAGTAATACCCAGGTGAATAGGAAAACTTTGCTTTTATGACTAGACTTTGTTACTCTAGGAACAAATTGGTGGGTAGTACATATCACGTTGAGAGATGCATACATATATATATATATATATATATATTTCAGTTTTGTTATGCTTATGATTACTACAGTTAGACTTCCCAGAATAAATATTTCTCATTGTTGAATAATGTCAAGGATGTCCACATTGCTTAGCATCTTACTGATGTATAATTTCTCTTCATTCCTAGATGCCTCTTTTCAACTCTAAATTATATAGTATTTGAAAAAGCAATGGAACAAGGAGGAGGTGAACTGTGACCCAGTTAAACTAATGTCTGTTGCAATACCTGAATTGAGAAAGGGCTATGGCCCAAGATACTGAGTACAGGATTGCGAATAATGTTTTTTGACTTTGTTTGACTTTTGTTCAACCTCAGTTTTATTAATTGAATTCCACTTGCATGTCATGAAAAATTACAGAATCCCTAATTTTGAAGTATCTTTTCTTGTGTTTATCAACTTATCTGGGAAGAGCGTGATAATGAGGCTTAGTAAATGAGACCCATAACTTCAGGATGTCAAGATTATAGGCTGAAAGCCACATTACAACTATAGATGATAACTTTTAACACTGTTTCATAGAAACTATTTGAAAGAATGAGAGTTAATCTTGATTTGCTGAGTAGAAGGATATATCAGTTTGTTGCCAAAAGATAAATTGCTTAGAATAAATATCAGAAATGTAAAGATTTTAGTAACTTTTAGCTCTAGTGTATGTATACAAATGGCCAATCAAAGTAGGTAATTTTAAAAGGATGATGTGTTGTATATATGATGCATTGCTTTTTGATATAAAATGCAAATTTAGAATCTGGCGTAACGTAATTCTGCATGTATATATGCATTTCTGTTTCTCGCCTGAAATCTGTATTTCATGTGTTTTATCCAGGGGGATAAAAAATTAAGGTGTGATTCAGCTGATCTTCGGCATGACATTGATCGCCGCCGTAAAGAAAGAAGTAAAGAACGGGGGGATTCCAAGGGCTCCAGGGAATCTAGTGGATCAAGAAAGCAAGACAAAACTCCAAAAGATTACAAGGAATACAAATCTTACAAAGATGACAGGTAATTGTTAAAATTGTCTTCACTTAGGTTTTAGCTTCTAATTAGCCTTTAATAATTGTCAGCTTAATTGCTTTCAATTTTGACGATGTAATCGAATGTTTAAATTTAAACAATTAAAATTATTTGTTTTACAGCAAAAATGTATTTGTCTTTTACACGGCTTATGGTGGATGAGGACAAAAACTTTGGAATAGCAAGCTAACACTGAAAAAAAAAATGACAAATTAATGTGTCCTATTATCCAGGCTACATCAGGAGGTTGGACTTCAATGCAGTGCATTTCTAGAAACAGTTTGTGTAAGAACTTTGGTTCGTTATGCTTGATTCCGCACTTTTTCAACTCATAACACCCAGAGTACAAGACTGTTAAAATGATATCTAGTGGTTTAACATGGGAGAGATGGGGGGGAGGAAAAACTAGAAAATAGGATTGTACATTAATTAGTCCTTGAAAATTAGATTTCCGTGGATATAATTAGCAGTGGTAAGAGTTACTGCAGGTATGAACTTTTTGAGTGTTGTATTAGAATCATGTAAATTCGATCCTCATAGACTCAAATGTAGGAATACAGTGTATAGATAATTGTTTTTCTTGATGTTCATTAGGAAAATGGTGGATTTGACTTGTGCTTTTAAATTTATGACTGTTATTTGTAATGTTACATGCCTTTTATTTCTATCATAATGTTATGGCCCAAACCGTACAAACTGTTGTTAGTTACTCAGAGTTTATATAAACTGCAGTCATTTTAAATCTTGGACTCAAGAACATTTTTGGGCTGGGCTATAGGTTAGTTGTAGAGTGCCTTTACCTAGCATATGTCAGGCCTTGGGGTCAATCCCCAGCACTGCAACAAACAACAGAAACCCATTCTTTTCTTTATTAAAATAACAAAAGATTACAAGTTAATGTAATGATGAACTGAACACCACTGAAGTTTGCAAACTACTAATTTCTAGCTGGTAGGCTATCTATAGTGTGTTTGTTAATTTTGTAAGACAATCACTGAAGAAGATTGGAACAGATTATCAGTTTATACCTGATTTTACTTAAGTAATAATTTTAAAGGGGATAGGTTTTTTTTTTAATTTAAAAACAAACATTCCTCATAAGATTCTAAGGAATTCTTTATCTTTTAAAAAAAAAGCACATTTTTTTTCTTTATTTTTCAGCAAACATAAGGGTAGAGAGCAAGACCATTCTCGATCGTCATCCTCTTCAGCATCACCTTCCTCACCGAGTTCTCGAGAAGAAAAAGAGAGTAAGAAAGAAAGAGAAGAAGACTTTAAAGCTCATCATGAGATGAAAGACTACTCGGGATTTGTAGGAGTTAGCAGACCTCGGGGAACCTTTGTAAGTAACAGTTGTCCTTGATCATTCAGGAGACTTTACCTTGGAGAACTGTAAAAAGGGGAAATCAACTATATTATAGATTTATTAAATGACTTTCTCAAAGTCAGAATCAGTCTTGAGAAATAAAATGGTATTTGAAATACTGTGTTCATTCTGAAATGCCATTTTTGAGATATTGAAGCATCTATATACAGTTACTTTTTCCCAGATCAATGACAATTTCAAAAGTTCACTTAGTACATCACTAGTTTTGGGAAACCTATTTTTAAAACATTAAAATCTACTCATCTCTTTATTATTACTGTTTTCAGTTTTGACTATTCAGGTCCTTACTTGTGTACCAGTCACATTTTCCTAAGTCTACAGTGTAGCATGCATTATCTCCATGTTTTACAAAGTTACTGTAACTGTTTTAAAGTTTATTTTTTCATGTCCATACTTCAGCTTTATCTAGTTGGATATTGCTACAATCCCTAGGTCATTTAGCAAAGGGAAGAGCTTTTCTTGTACGGTAACAGATATGGTACTAAACAGGTGGGGTTGTGGTGATACAATTCAAAGGAACTAGGTAACCTTCGGCTAGTAAAAAGGGGGGAAATCTAACATAGTTTAAAAATACTAGTTACAGGTCATGACAGTACATATTTTAATATTTCAGTATATTATTTTTATTATTCTACTCAACTTCCAGTAGGCGTGTAGTATAAAATGGATACTCTTTCCATCCTCAGTGGCTATGAAGACAGACAGGTGGACAGACACACACGAACACACACATTTTGGTTTTGTTACTGCAGTAAAATCTAGAGCTTGCATGTAACTAAATACCTTTGATTGCATTACTAAACAACTTTGTTAATGTTAATCAGTTTCGAATTAGAGGCAGAGGAAGAGCCAGAGGAGTTTTTGCTGGGACAAATACTGGTCCAAACAACTCAAATACCACTTTTCAAAAGAGACCGAAGGAAGAGGAATGGGATCCAGAATATACCCCAAAGAGCAAGAAGTACTTCTTGGTGGGTGTTAGAAATATGTTTTGTTTGATTTGCGTTGACTTTCAAAACATCCTAGGTGAATACTAAACATTTCAGTTCAGATGTTCACCATTATGAGATTTCACTGTAACTTGGGCGAACATTTTTTTCTCTTAATATCATTAAATTGTTTGAAGCTTTGAGTTCAGATGTGGGTCCCTTTAGTTCTGATTATATGCTTGACTTAACATCACATACAGTAGGCTGATCAAAGTAATTTGAGGTAAATTAATAATATGCCTGATTTGATTGTCACATTCAGAGAAAAAAACATACTGTAGTTAAGATACTCTTCCATATCTAAGACAACTCTAAGTGTAGAAACCTCTTAATTAATTGTACTTTCTATTATAACTTTGTTTAAAGACAAGAAAAGCAATGTTTTTCATGATTCTTGTAATGAAGGATCTCAGGATTTTCAAAGTTCATTAGAATTATAGGAGAAACAGGTTTTGAAAATATAAACGCTGGGTTTGGTCCTTGCTTTTCCTATTCAAATAGTTTTCAGAAGAGTAAAATATGAGGCTGTGGGTCTTGAAGGATCTATATATAGGATGGTAATTTTTTTTAGTTTGGCATGGGGAAAGAAAAGGTTGTATGTTCTGTATTATAGAGACAGATGTTAAGTTACCAAAACTTTACCAGAGGTACGTACTAGTCTTTGTTGTAGCTTTTCAGGGAAGTCATGTTTCAGGGCTAGTTTTGAAAATTGAAAGTAAGTTGGGTGTTGGTGGTGCACTCCTATAATCCCAGCACTCAGGAGGCAGTGGCAGGCGGATCTTTGAGAGTTCGAGGCCAGCCTGGTCTACAGAGCGAGTTCCAGGACAGTTTCCAAAACAATACAGAGAAACCCTGTCTTGAAAAACAAAAACAAAAAACAAAAAACAAAAAAAAAAAAAAAAGAAAAGAAAAAAGAAAATTGAAAGTAAGTATATCTTAGTGTCCACAGCAGACTTGCTTAATTAGGGGGTCAAATTTATATTCTGAAGTGAATCTATTTGGGAAATGATCAGAACACTTACTCAAAAATGGATTTGGCACTACTGTTTAATGACCCAAAATTTGGAAAAGTTGTGTAAACTTTTAGAATGCATGATATGTAACAGTCAGTTTGTGCTGAGAACCTGCTGTCTTGAATTAGTAGGCTGGAAACTCTAAGGCGCATAATTCAGATATTGATGAGTTGTTTCATTTAATTTGTTTATGAATGGGCTGGAGAGATGGCTCAGTGCCTAAGAGCACTTGCTGCTCTCTATATAAGACCAAAGTTCAGTTCCCAGTAAACATATCTTGGGCTCTGACACTGTCTTCTAGCCTCTTCTGTGGTTACCTGTGGGGACATGGTGCACATATAGAAAAAGCATTTGTGTACACACCCATAAATAAATGAATTTATTTATTTATTTTTTGAGACAGGGCCTCTCTAATACAGCCCTGGCTGCCTTGGAACTCACTGTGTAGACTCACTGTGTAGATCAGGCTGGCTTCCAACTCAAGAGATCTACCTGCCTTTGCCTCCTGAGTGCTAGAATTAAAGAAGGTGCCACCACACCCAGCTAAATCTTCTTTTGAACATTGTGGCTTTTAAAGAAAAACTAGAATTTATAAATTGCTTATATTTTAATATTTGTAAAAGGCACTAGGATAATCCCATCTTGGGGCTAAAGGACAAGTGACGGAAACTTTCAGTTTTTGTGACTTTACAAGAAGCGAATGAAGTTTTACAAAGGAACTAACTGATATATCAGAGTTTATAGAGAAGCTTGTCTTTAGTCTTGAACATAAAAATGGGTAGCTAGAGTGAATTAAAGTGGTTAGGTTGTTGGTATAAATACGTTTGGGAAAATTGAGAAAACCCAGGAATCAAGATTGTGGTAAACTGGGACGTGGTGGCACATGCATTTAATCGTCGCAGGGAGGCAGAGGCAGGCGGATGTCAGTGAATTAGAGGCCAGCCCTGTGTACAGGGGACTACACAGCAAAACCATCTTGAATAACAACTAAACAAACCCAACAAAAAAGATTGTGGTAATCCATAATACCTTAGCAATACAATTACACGAAGAGCTAGATACCAGGTGCTTGAACCAAGGGGCTACATTAAAAGAGGATTTTAAAGCATTTCCTTCAAGGTTTTTCTTGGTATGGAACTTTGACTGATCTTATAATTGATTTGGCCTTCTCCTGCATTAGCTTCCTAAATACTGGCTAGGTTTACAGTTGTGGATCACCACCTCTGACTTAATGGGAACTTGGAAATAATTTGGTTGGGAGTAGAGTAACTGAAAACCTAGAGGAAAGACACAGTTTTAAAGAAAATTAAACTCTCCTCATCTAGGCTTAATTCGAAGTGATTAGGAGAAAACAAGAGCAAATCCAATGGATAGTTGTTAATGAAGATTTAGAGACACCAAGATCCAAGAATCATATGACAATCACCATTAAAGAGATGTGAGATTACACGGAATACATGTTAAGAGGTCATATTTCAAAGATAGGATGAGGTGTTATAAAAGTGACAGACAAATAGTTCAAGTGTGAGACTCCCTTTCTGTATTGCTGGGAATAAAGGAGTGTGTGTTCCATACTATTACATATTTTTATTTTTTACAGTGTTCTGCCTACTTGTATGACCGCAAGGCCAGTAGAGGGCACCAGATTTCATTACCAATGGTTGTGAGCCGCCATGTGGGTTCTGGGAATTAAACTCAGGACCCGTGGAAGAGCAGTTAGTGCTCTTAACCTCTGAGCCATCTCTCTAGCCCCACAATTACATACTTTTAACAGTTTTAAAAACTGATTTTACTTTGCTTATTCCTAAGTTCTGGCATTAATAGCCATGGGATACTGTACTCAACCAGAAGATGTAATTGAGACCAGACTTTATGTTGCTTTTCAGAATCTGCTGTCATGGATCTTTATGTATTCAATTGGGACATAGACATTTTAGATTGTCTTATAATGCATAGTAGTTGTATTAATATGTTATTTTAAAAGTTTAGTCACTTGCCAGGTATGATGGTGCACACTTTTATTGCCAGCATTCTGAGAGGCATAAGTGAAGTTGATCTCGAGTTTGGGGCCAGCCTGGTTTATAGAGCAAGTTCCAGGATAGCTAGGACTACACAGAGAAACCCTGTATTGAAAAATAAGCAACAACAACAAAAAATTTCATTACTTAAAAAATGATGATATATCTGTTGCTATTGTGGCCTTTCATTTTAAGTTTTTTTGTTTTCATTTTGGAGGCAGGGTTCCTGTGTGTAACCCTGGCTGTCCAGGAACTTATTTTGTAAGCCAAATTGGCTTCAGATCCACCTGCCTCTACCTCTGGAGTTTTAGGATTAGAGGTATGTACCACCGATGCGCTGCTATGGGTTGTAATTTAAACTTTTTGATCTGTGTAATGCATGCATACATTTGCACATCACAGACTGATGGTTATTTTGGTACTTAAGAGCAATTGAAGGGCAACTTGGATTCACCAGAATTTTGTTTTGTTTTTGTTTTTCCAGACAGGGTTTTTTGTGTTGCCCTGGCTGTCTTGGAACTCTCTGTGTAGACCAGTTTGGCCACCTGCCTCTGCCTCCCAAGTGCTCGGATTAAAGGTGTACACCACCACCACCACCTAGCTCACCAGAATATTTTAATTTAACACATTGTGCATTTAATGTACAGACACTGACTTTAGAACATACTGAGAACAGAGATATGAGCAAAAATAACAATTCAAAAAAGATGAGGTTTAAAACTTGACGTTTCTTTTGTTTTTTTAAACAATAATATACCAGTGTAGAAAGTTTAACCTAGTACAATTTTAATGCTTAGTGACATTTAAGCTAGACATGGTAGTGCCAACATGGTGACCTACTCGCAGACATGAGAAGAATTTAAAGTTAAAAAAATCTTTCTGAGTTGAGGTCATTTTTTATCCAGATGAAGAGAGATTCAGTTACTCAGTTACTGCGAAGTCGGGGCTACTAGGAATGGGGTTAGTATTTGAGTCTCTGAATTTCTAATTTGTGGTCCTCATACTTACTGCCTTTAGAATATAGTAGTGTTTGTTACATTCTTAAGTTTCTTACCTCCAACCTTGGCTTTTTGCAAGGATGTGATAATTAATATAAGTATTCTAGGAAGATTATAGTAGAGTGAAGAGCTTAGGGATGGAGGAGGGGTCAAGTTTTAGAGTAACTTTTGAAATTTAATTTTTTAAAACTCATTATTCACTAATATGGTGAGGTCTAGATAACTTTAAAATGTAGATTCCTGTCTATTGAATGGGATTAGAGGTTTGCATGGGATAACTTGATCAGATTGTGTTGTGGAGAGATGAAAATACAGGAGATCTTCAATCCGTTTTTAGATGCCTTTAAAAACAATAGCCATTTAACTTTAACTGTCGTCTGTGAACAATGTAATTTACTTAGAAGATTGAAAATTTGAAAGTAAGAATTTGAAAATGTTCTCACTGTTGAGATTGGCTGGGGAGATTGCTTAGTGGTCAAAACTGGAATTCCCAAGATCCCCATATAAATGTTGGGTTTGTGGGGTGAAGATCTGTCTAATTCCTGCCTCCACAATGAGATGAGGGTTGTGAGCTACCATGTGGTTGCTGGAATTGAACTCAGGACCTCTGGAAGAGCAGCCAGTCCCCTTAACTGCTGAGCCATCTCTCCAAGTGGAGTGGCTCTTCTCTGATGTGTGTGTGTGTGTGTGTGTGTGTGTGTATATATAATTTTGATAATTTCAGAAGTCATTATTTATGAAATCATAGACAACTCTACCTAGCAATCTTAATTGCTTTGGTGTAAAAAGTATCAAAAGATAGCAGTTATTAGCAGTTGCGAATTGTTCTTTAGAATGGTTTAATAATTGCCTATACAGTTCCAACATGTAAGTTATGTAAGAAGTTAATCTTGACAAAATGGTTATGCATAAAGTCTTATTCTGCAAACAGTCTGTGACACTTTCAAAGATTCTAGTGCAGTTATACACATTTTCTCATAAAGGGTCATTGTTGTGCTTCATTTTTCATGTAGCAGTTGGCAGGTTTAATAAATGAGGTAATGAGAGGGAGACCTTTAGGTTTTTTATTGTATTTTGGAATGGGAATACTTTTTTTTACAAACTTTTAGTACTTTTCACCCTTGGAGTTTGTTTCCTTAATAGAACAGTTTGTAAGTTGGGGAGTAACTATTTAAATATAGTTATTGAAAACTTACGGTTGGATTGTAATAGCTTCAATACTTTCTGTAAAATAGCTGAGATAAATTGCCATGGGGCTGTGCTGGTATGATTTACCATTGACACTCCTAGACTGCAGATCGATATATATTTACATGTAGATTTAAATCTCAGCATAGGATTTTAAAATCTTTTTTTTTTTTTTTTTTTTTTTTGGGGTTTTACGAGACAGGGTTTCTCTGTATTGTTTTGCAGGCTGTCAGTCCAGCCTGGCCTCGAACTCGCAGAGATCCGCCTGCCTCTGCCTCCCGAGTGCTGGGATTAAAGGCATGCGCCACCACTGCCCGGCGGATTTTAAAATCTTTAATGCTAGACATAATTTATGTAACATGTAATACACGTTATTTATAGCATTACAATAATTTTCTGGCTTTTGCAGTGTCCTTTTGATATTTTTGAATCTCATTACTTGCTGTGTGATTTGAGAATTAATATCTTTACAAGAAAGCCATTTCATTGATGTGTTTTCTTTTTAAACCTTTCTATAGCATGATGACAGAGATGATGGTGTGGATTATTGGGCCAAAAGAGGAAGAGGTCGTGGTACTTTTCAACGTGGCAGAGGGCGCTTTAATTTCAAAAAATCAGGTAGCAGTCCAAAGTGGACTCATGACAAATACCAAGGGGATGGGATTGTTGAAGATGAAGAAGAGACCATGGAAAATAGTGAAGAAAAGAAGGACAGACGCAAAGAAGAAAAGGTAGAGATTTTCTGAGTTTTTTTTCCTTCCTTTCACAGATTTTATATAGTATGAGCTTGGCAGGCAAATCTGTAGATCAACTTTTAGAAATAATTATCATTAACACTCACTACCCACAGCTTTATTGACCTCTAATTTTTTTTTTCCCCTTTTCAGGAATAGTCTCAAGATTGCAACAGAGAGCAGAACTTGGCACTCAATTTTTTTAAACCTGATTTTTGTTTTCAAATAAGAATGTAAACATTTTACTTAAAATTTACTGTTTGCAAGTAGTCTATAGAAATTTTGTTTTAAGTTTTCAGATACCTTGGGAAAAAAATAGTAGACTGTATGTTGAAAATTGTATTGAAATAAAGTAGAAAATGTTCCGTACCATATTTGTAACTATCAACTTTTAAAACCTTTGACTGTTTTTGTTAATGCATTGTATTCTGCTTTGTCTATAAGAAATGGTCAAGTCCAGCTATGTGACAGCTCTGATTCTCTTGACTTCCTGATTGTTAATGTTTGGTTCATAAGTACACGTTAGCGCTACACAAATCCACACAAACCTTCCTTCCACCAAGAGTTGTTTATAGTGACCACACTAATTATTTAACTATACACTTCTGTTTAACATCTTTTTTCATTTGAACACTACGTTGTAGTGTGACCAATTTTTGAAAGTACCACGAAAGTTGCTATTCTGGTAAACTAAAAATAGTCTCACACTTCAGCAAATATATAAGGACAATAGCTTTGTTAATAGCTAGAAACTACAAATTATTAAAAGTTAGAAAGCTTTGAGAAATTGGTATTTTTGCTGAAAGCAAACAGTGGCGTGTAGTCATTTTAAGATTCTTTCCTGTATGAATTAAAAATTCAATATTCTCTTCCATTCTCATTTGATAGTTTGAGTCATGGTCTTAGATATCTGCTACCTAAAAGAGAAACTGTGGTTTGTACTATTAGAGTAAGTACAAATTCTAAGTCCACAGACCTGGTTGTATTTTTTTAAAGAACAAAACAGCAAAACTTGGGAGTCCTATTCATTTGGAGCTTTCTCCTGAAGTATAATTTGATATAATTAGTCATTAAATACCTGATTGCAAAGCATACATAGTTATTGGAGACTCTGAACAGCTGTAGATTAGTTCATAATTTAACCATGTAATTACAGATCCAATGTGCTGTTTAGTAGTTAGTTTTAATATTATCAATAAACATTTTGGCAGGAAGCTTGTAGCATTGATCTAACTGCCCACCTTCCTTACTTTAATTTAAGTTTATAAAATGGCCTTTTTCTTTTCAAGTAGTCTGTCTGCCTTACCTAAAGAGGTAGATACTCTTCTTTGCTATTTATTATTAGCTCTTGGAGGAATAAAGTTCACGCTAAGGCTGACTTACTCCTAAACATGTAAGACTAGCCATTGTATCAGATTAGTTGTATATTTTTGCATTTAAAGGGAAAAATGCTTATTCTATTACTGTAAACATTTAAAGCTTGCAAGTGTATGGCTGTTTCATTCTGTTTTGATGATTTACAATGTGTCTTAGACGTTGAATAGCTAGTGACATTCGCAAAGAGCTGTTGGCAGCAAAATTAAACTAAAGCCCAAAAGTTAACATGTGATGTTTATCTTTTTTAAAAAAATGGTTTTGCCTTTGGCCAGTTATCTTTATTTTGAAAGTCTTAATTGTTAAATATGTCTAAAGTGCAATTTTTTTTTGTTGCAGCTAAGCAATAGCAGCATTTTTAAAAACAGACCTTAGAAAATGTTTAGAACAGTTGAAAAAAATTACAATAAAAATTACAATGTGATCTAGATACATTTTTTCTTCAGGGTGACTCAGACATTGCATCTGGCACAGCTTTGGAGAAATTACCAACACACACACATACAAAAACATTCTTTTGCTCCCAGGGCTGTCAAACCAAGGCTTCTTGCTCTTGGGTTCTGCATGGTGCTGATATCTGGGTCCCAGCTAATATCTTGCTGTCATCAATAGCAGTGGAACACCAGTTGGTGATTCTTGTTTAAAGTCTCAGTATCAGTAACTGAACAGATTGTCCACCACATCTGGTCTTACAAATACCACCCTTCATTACTTTAGTCTGAATCTTCCCATCAGAGGCTAATTCTTGGTGGCTCAGGATATACTTCTCACACTTGACTGGCTCCTTTTCATTTGCAGCAGATACTGTGATGGAGGTGAGGTACATGGGACTGCATGACGGTCTCAGTTTGCACATTGGGGGTAGACTTATGACCCACCCATCTGCTCCTTGCAGAGTGGGATCTTCTGCCATTTCATTGTTTCTGTCAACATGCCTTGCAACCTGGGTTCTTATCTGCGCTTGTCAGCAAACTGTTGCTGATGCTTCTGATTGTGCCTCTCAAGCTCCTGTTGCAGATTATCTTCTTCATAGATCGTGGTTGTTTTCTCCAAAATCTCAGTCTTGCACTCCAAAGTTTTGTTCTTCTCCAGTCCTTCTGTTTCTGATTTCTGTCCTTTTCCATTTAGTTTTTCCTGAGACATGTTTATCTTAAGATTCTCACCCAGTGTTGCCTGATTTCTCCCATTAATTGTCTGTCTGAAATTGTTTAGTAAATCAGAAAATATCTGGAATACAACTTTATTGCATCAATCTGGACATAATTAGTACCATCCTGTTCAGATTAATACCTAAATATAAAAGCAATATGTATTCAGTCCCCTAACAACTTTCATATCATTCTGTTTCATATGAATACATTAACTTTTAACAGGTTTTTGGTTATACACTGAATCTTGACATGTTTACTTTTTCTACACCAGAAAAGTAGATTCACTGAAAAATAACTTAGTAGGGAGTAACAGGTTATATTTTAAATGCGAATGCAATGCTGTAACCTTTGGTTCCTACTACAGTGTAGGAAAGTGTGATGGTAAGCGCTCTTCAGTAAAACACCACTGTGAATCTTCTCTCTCAGAGCCAAACATAACGCAGCCTTTGTGTAGTTTTTAAGATCACTAGTTTCACATTTCATGACATTATAAAAGTTGAATGGTTCCTCTTGGTAAAGCTGCTTGATTTTAAGTGCCAGGAAAGTAGCTGTTAAACGTTATACTTCCTTTGCCCAGAGAAAAGAAATAAAATGAACCAAAGGATTTTTCCAGAAAAAGCAGTTTCAGAAGGCCATGACTCAATTCTTAGGTGTGTATGCTTTTCAGCATCTTAGGGATTTTAAGAAAAAGCGACGTCTTTTCCAGTTGCACTCTGTTTCTAGGAATTATTATTGTTCCTTTTTGTCACCATTAAAATCAGTGTTGGGAATTAAATTATGATTTGAGGGAAAATTGTTACCCCATGAGAATGGATGTAGATGGCTGAAGGATTCTTACTCAGTGTGGTGTATATTTCAACAGGGACCCTTGTAAGTTGTCATATGCCAATAAAATGTCCTAAGTGGTAATAGCTGTTGTCTGTTTACCTAATTTTGAGAATCTTCCTGGGTGGACTTTCTACCCAGATTTCTGCTGCCCATTTCTAGAATTTGGAATAGCAACTCAAGTGTAGTACTTGGTACATGGTTTGATAAATGTTTTTAAAGGTTCTTCAAAACTGTCTTAATTGCTTTCTCTTCTCTTCTTGGAAGATGAGAATGCATAGAGTTTTTAGCGAACCATTCTGGAAAATGCAGGAATTCTAGGTTAGTAGTCCTTGAAAAGAAAAACACACAAGACTTTTTGGTTTTTGTTTTTGTTTTTGTTTTGGTTGGTTGGTGTTTTGAGACAGGTTTCCTCTGTGTTAGCAGCCCTGACTGTCCTAGAACTCTTTTGTAGACCAGGCTGGTCTTTGCCTCTGCCTCTTGAGTACTGTAATTAAAGGCATATACCATCATCACCCAGCCAAAACACACAGTAATTTTCATCCTAGCACTCTGGGCTATCAGTTGAGATCAGCCAGAGCTGTATCTGTCTTTAAAAAAGTTAGGAATCCATGTGATTTTTTGTTTAGAGACAGGGTCTCATGTGGCTGAGGCTCACCTTAAGGAGTATATAATATAGCTGAAGACAACTTTGAATTTCTGAGCCCCCTGCTTTCATTTGAATGGGAAATTGCTGGGATTGCAGTGCTGGGCCACATTTTACTGTAGGGCTTGGAATCGAACCCTGGTGCTTTGTGCATGTTGAACAAGCACTCATCTGAGTCACACCTCCAGCCAGCTCCTCTAAAACATACAAAATAACAGAGTGGTTTTAAGTTATTTGTTATCTTTTAAGATATGGTACAATTAAAACATTCTTCTTAAAAATTACTGAAAATATAAAATACAAAAATTCTTTTAACTTTAAAATATTTTTGTGAAAGTGGAAATTGACTTTTTATAAAAGATTTATTTGAATGTGCGTGTGTGTGTGTGTGTGTGTGTGTGTGTGTGTGTGTGTGTGTGTGTTTACACGCATGCACACTGGTACCCACAAAGGCCAGAAGCCTGCTATGGATCCTCTGGAGTCAAGACAGATGTGCGCCACCTGATGTGGATGCTGGGAACTGAACTCGGTCCTCTGAAAGAGCTGCAAGCACTTTAACCCATGAGCCACTTCCCTGTTCTGAAACATTGTCCACCCTGCTTTAACCCATGAGCCACTTCCCTGTTCTGAAACATTGTCCACCCTGCAGGCCTTCATTTCTGGTGGTGTGCCAGTATGGAGGGCACAGTGCTGTCTTACCCGCTAGATGTCAGCTCACCAAGCTTGGCAGCAATTGCCTTTCACCACTTGTCTTGCTGTCCTGGGAATTGGACAACTTGTACAAATGTTTATTTTTAAAGTTTGAAGCAAGTCTTGCTGTGTAGTTCAAGCTGTCTTGGAATTTCTAGATCTATGGGTGCTGGGATTAGAGATATGTACCACTGTGCCTGGTTTAAGTTGGCACATTCTGAACAAATTGTAAACTTGAAAAAAACAAAATCTTCCACAGGGAAATAAATGTATTTGTAAAAAGTATGTGTCATATTGCTAGTAACTTAATTGTTATGGATTTTCAGTGCAAAAGTATGCTCCATTTGTCATATTTTTAGAGACGTTCTTACACTGTAGCACCTAAGGTGGCCTGGCTTCATTCTATTTCCCAGGCTGACCTTGAACAGAGCCTTTCAGGTTCTGTTATTTCTGGCCTGACTAGCTTTCGATTCCAACCCCTTTTTTGGGTTTGATTTGAAAATCGCTTTAGGGTTAATACCCTAAGTTTGCATAAAGAAGTAATTTTTTTTGATTGTTTAAATGAAATTGGTAGGTAGGGAATGCAAATGAAGACAAGACACTGGCTGGGTGTACTTTCATGGATAATAGATCTGATGCATGCTTTACAAAATTGTGGATAGAAAGATCAGCTACTTTCTATTATTGTAACAATCAACCATGACCACACATTTTATAGAAGGGGAAGGGTCTACTTGGGGCTTTTGGTTTCAGAGGGGAGTCTATCACTACCATCGCAGAGAAGTCTGGCAGTACCAGAGAGCTGAGGGTGTGTAAACAGAAAGCAGAGTGTGAATTGCTGATGACCAGAGGTTGAGGTTTTTAAATCTCCAAGCAGGCAGTTGGTGACACACTCCTTCATGAAAGGCACACCTACTAAGACTCCTCAGACAGTGAACAATTGGAATCAAGTACTAAATGCCTGAGACATGGGGCAAACATCTCATTCAGGGCACCTTGGGGAGTACACATGTATTTTATTGCCATAACATACTTGGCATGAGTTGATCTTGAAACGGTTCAGTTCCTGCATTGGCTGGACTGATTTCATAATCTCTCCATTCCTTTGAGTAACTGCAGGAACAAGTTCTGTTATAATTTCTGTTGCTACTGTCCAAATGGGAAGAGCATGGCTCCAGTGAAATAGAGCATTGTTGTGTCTGTCATGTACATCAGGTACATGCTTCCGGTGATCGCCATTGTTTGCTGAATGCTTCAAATAGGCAGTTAACTGCATTCCCAGTGAAAGGAAACATGGAGGTGAAGACAGTATTGTGGTAGCTGCTAGTGCAGATTGCTCTAGGTGTCTGTAAAAGTCCTGAAAAAGTGTAAGCCTTGAGGATCTAGGCAAAGTCTCCAGACATGTTGAAGTCATGAGTTTTCTGTGCCTGGGTTTTAAAGGAGCTCTGTTCCCAGTCTATCCCTCTCATGTTTGCCACTCTATCTCACTGTGACTGTGGATGGTGACTTTTCAAGGCTGTAATGGAACTGGAGTGAACCAGTCTGCCTGAAGTTACTGGAGCTGGGGGGGGGGCGCTCAGGTTAGAAGAGCCTAATGCTTTGGGCAGAGGACCTGAGAGGGGTGGGGGGGTAGAAGTGGGGTGGGAGGTGGCCCCTGTTGTCCACATGGTGGCGCACAATCATTTGTACAATTTCTGAGTGTCTGATGCCATCACGTGAACTATGTGGGCTCCTGCAAGCTTGTGCACATATACACATAAAACACTTAAAAATGTTACAGGAGTGTGAACAGTTTGCCAGTGGCTACTCTGCTGAAGAAAATCTCCCTCAGTAACTCTTTAATTGCCTGCCTGTAAATCCTCAAGGAGTGACAGGGCATCATGAACTTTCCCTCACTCTGACAGGATATGGTAGGATCCAATCTTGTGCTGGTCAATGGGTAGTGTCACTGCTCTAGAGGTGGTGGGATCTGAGAGAATGGAGCCGATAAATGAGACAGGACAATTATGCTCCAAGGCTCATAATCACATGAGTAAAGTTCTGACTTCACACCCATTTGTATATACTCAAAATGATGATTTGTGTGTGGCAAAAGACGTTTTTTTCCATAGACAGTAAATATTTCATTGAAGAACAGCAGCAAGCAATAATGAGGGATCCAATACACCTGGGAGGCACATGGAACTAACTATTCCAAGAACAGTTTCTCGTTTTGAAGAAACCGAGTTCACAATTCTTGATTTCTTGGACTGTGTTCTCACCACATTCAGAATTGTGATAAAACTGCACACCTGGACTGTGTTCCAACAGGTAGTTGAGTAAAAAGTTCATGTTAGGAAGATCATGAGTTTGAGGCCAGTTGCACTAATTATAACGAGACATCCAACAACAAAAAACCCAAACAAACAACCTTGGAAACAGACAACATAACCCAGACTGGCCATGAGATCCCTGTGTCCCAAAAGGATAGTCCTCACCTCCATTCTGCTTTTGCCTCCTGGATCCTGGGATTACAGGCTTGTGCCAGTGTCTAGCTACTAGAAATGAATAAACCATTGTAATTGGAAATATATATATTTATAGTAAAAAAGAAGGGCTGGAGAGAGAGTAGCAGTGAAGAACAGGACCTGAATTCAGTTCTCAGCACTCAACCTGTGTCTCATAACCATCCACAAACAATACCAAGGGGTTTAACATTCACGTGTGTATGTAAAACATTGGTACAAAGTCAAATCTAGAAAAATTTTAAAATGAATTTTTTTATAGTTGCTTTTATTTTATGTTCATTGGTGGTGTGTCTGCCTGTATGTCTGTGTGAAGGTGTTGGATCCCCTGGACATGGAGCTACAGGAAGTTATTAGGAGACTTGCCAGTCCCCAGTGCCCTCATTCTCAAGGACTCACTAGCCGGACCAAATAGCTCAGATACAGGTAATTTACCAGCTCTCCCTGACACAGCTTCTTCCAACTTAGGTCATCCATGGCTGCTTGCTAGGGATCATGGCTTCTCCGATTCCTTTGGATGGCAGGATGGAATTGATTTGAAGGGACAAATGAGAACAATGGCAGGGGCGGGGTGGTAAGCTTTATTTTGGGAAGGGGTAGGGAATTAATACAGGAGGAGATGAAGGAAGGACAATTAAAACATTTGAGAAAGCCATAAGGAAATCATTCTATAACTAGATTTACATATAATAGAGAGTATATATGCATACATACCTATGCCACTGGAGTGATAATGGTCTCCATAAGAGTCAAAATAGAAAAGCAAATAATAAACTCAGTACCACGTATGAGAAATGTCCTTTCAAGTTGTTGGTCAGGTGAATTTAAGAGACTCCAAAAACAATTTAGGCTATTGCTGGTGCCCTTAGTTGCCTCTCAGAAATTGAAGGTCAGCCCCTATTAATAGCTGAAGACATCACACATTTAGAATTCAAGGAGTTGTCTTATCTGACCAATAATCCCAGTGCTCAAGAGGCAGCAGTTTGATGAAGTTCAGCCTTTGCTGATGTGATATGTCTCAGAAAGCCAAAACATCAACAAGAACCCCTGCCAAAGAAAAAAAGCAAAACAACACACTAAAAGTATTTATGCAGTCTGGGTTGTTTCTTTTCAGAAATTCGGTGTTACTTTATGCTGAACCTTTCCTAGTTTAAATTTCTTATTCTAGATTACTTGGCATATTCCACTTAAACGTCGATGCTTTATTGTTACCAACTAAAATGGTTAGGATTAATAAAACATTGCTAACAAAAAAAGTGTTTAAGATTTTCAAAAGTTTATATCATGCCAAATCGTAAGAATTATTTAAATGAGGTTTTGTAAATATCAGTTTATGGATTGGTTGTAGGTATAAATACAGAGGCAGTATGCTTCACTCTGCTTTCCCTTATGGTTTGCTGGGGGCGGGGATAATTAGAACTTTTGCTTCTCACTAGCTTTCAAAACTGAAAGGTGTAAAAGTCTTGTCTTAGGGCCAGCAAAATGGTTCCGTGGGAAAAGCAGCTTGCTACCACACCTAAGGCCTCAAGTTCTGTCTCTGGATCCTACACAGTAGAAGGTGAGGACCAACTCCCACAAATGGTTCTTTGATTTCTCGAGGGTTCTGTGGCACGAGCACCTGTGGCGTGAACACACGCTAAATACACTAGTATGGATAATGTGGCTCAACATGAGTTACCCCAGCATTTAGCTTACGGCTAGGTATTTCCGCAGAATAACCAGACAACCGCAAGTGTGTTGGCGGAATCTTTGTCGAATGCTGAGAAAACGTGCCACCATTGGGTAGGGTGTAGAAGGGTTGAGTGATAAATAAGGTCAAACAGCGAGTACCTGTAACAGGCGAGAAACGCTGAGACGCATTTTGCGCATGCGTCTCGCTGAGACAGCTATTGGTTCTCGGCCTTCCAATCACAAGCGGCGTTCTCCACTCTTGCCCAATGGAGGCAGGCGCCGAGTTCGGGCCCGCGGAGCTTGATAGTTGTTGCAGGAGGCGGAAGCGGCCAGCGGGCCCAGGAAGAGCCGTTCGCTCCCTCTGCCGCTCGGGCGGCAGTGCTCGCGCGCCTGGGCGGACGGCGCTTCTGCAGGCTTCCCGGACGCCCTGGCGCCCTGCAATGCAGCGGGAAGGTGAGTGGCGCGGGCTCCGCCGGGCCCCGTGGCTTCCGGTCAGCGGTCAGTGACGGAGGGGCGGGTGTGAAATTTTGAGGCCGTGCGGTTCTGAAAGCTTCCAGGGGCCGCAGAAATCTCGGGACCGTGTGAGCTTGGCTGTCGCACACTGACTTGTCAGGGTCCCTTTACAAACACTCGGTAAGGGTTTAATGTAACAGTAAAATTTCATTGTTAGTGCTCTTCGCCCCCCCCCCGTACACTTTTTCTCGTCCTTCAAAATAAAAGCTCTCCAGGAGCAATCACTTGATGGTGTAATAAGTCCTGAAAGGTTTCTTTAGTGCCGTCTGCCTGGCAGTTACTTGTGAGAGTAATAATAGCTTCTCTTCTAAGGTACCATCGAACAATGTTTCCTTGAACTTGCTTCACCAATGTCTTTCATACTGAATACATTAAGAAACATGCTGGCGTATTTCGGTGTTCCTGTAGATCAGGTAAATGTTTTTGAAGAATTTTGCTAACTTTATTTTTGGGTCTTGTCGTTTTTTAGCCAGGTTATCATGTATGTAAATGATAAATTAAAAAGAAAAGGGCCAAGTGGGTACCTTTCAGAGGGCCCTGCCAATGTATGCCACTAAGCAAACAGGCCACAGGCAACAGAGTTAGTGCAAGAGGTTTATTTGGGGAGGGGGAAGAGTAAGAGACAAGAGAGAGGCAGGTAGGTAGACAGATACAGAGGAGTCAAGAGAAAGAAGAGGCAAGAGAGCGAGCTGTGCCTAGCAGGGACTTCTAAGGGGGCGCACATGGTGGAAAGGCACTTAGCAACAGGTGATGATGTAGCTAACTGCTTTGGTGGCAGAGACAGGCTGCTGCCTTGGTGGAAACTAACAGTGTAGCCCAGACTTTATTCTTGGGTCTCATTATTGTTGTTTTGAGCCTGGAACTCTTGTAGCCCAGGCTGTCCTCATCCTCCTGTCTCTACTTCCCAAGGACTGGGATTCCAGATGTACATCATCTGGGTTTTGGTGTGTCACTTTGAACATGTTTTCCACCCTGGTTAGTTTTTATTGTCAATTTGACATTAGAGTCCTCAAGGACTGCCTAGATCAGATCGGCCTGTGGCCTGTCTCTAAGAGATCCTCTACTGGTGATAGACACATAGGGCTCAGCCACCTGCCAAGGACACCATTCTTTGACAAATGAGATCTGAGCTGTGTAAGAGAGCTAGTTGAACATGAGCCCGTGGTTTCTGCTTGAGTTCCTACCTGACTTCCCTCAATGATGAGTTGGGCCTGAGAAGGTGTGCTGTCTAGTTTTATGTCAATTTGATACAAACTATAGTTATCTGAGAGAAAGGAACGCTGATTGAGATATTGCCTCCATAAGATCAGGCTGTAGGCAGGTATGTGGAGCATTTTCCTAATTAGTGATTGATGGGGGAGGGCCCAGCCCTGGGATGGAGTGGGCCGTGTCCTCTGATGGTAATTCGGCACATTTATTATATGCAGCTGAACAAGGATGTGTTTCTTACATACAGCTGGACAAGGAGGCATGTTAGGTAATCTTGGGGTGGCGTCTCTTTAGGGGAGCAGTCTCAGACTGCAGCTATCTGGGAGGAGGAAGTTGTGGTTGATACTTGCTGCAGACACTATAACCAAACATCAGACTAGGCGAGACCTTGCTGTTCTCATGGGTCTGAGGCATACCAGGCCTTGACATGACCATGCTCATGTCAAAAATACACATTCACTCGGGACTTCATCTGCTCCCCGTGGAGTTGGGAGTTAAAGACTAGCCCAGGCTATATGTTAGGCCCCTGTCAAAATACCAAAGCTCAACATCAGCAGACATGCCAATTCAGACAGGGGCCTAACATACCCACATGATCCCACCCCCTCTAGGAAGAGTTATAGGTGGTCATTGGCTGCTTCGAGAAAGACTCAACTGAGGAATGAACTCCCATAGCTCTACAATGGGCTATACAATTCCAAGTGATCAGACCTGGGCACATGTACATGCAGGCAAAGATAAATGAACTCTCGTTGTCATGTATATACATAACAATGTATGCATATGTATACACATTTGTATATACATGTAGCAGTGCTAATTACAGGAGAGATCATAATTTGGGATGGGGACTGAGAGCAGTTGGAAGGGAGAGAGGGAAGGGTGAAAGTGATGTAGATGTAGTTAGGGCTCATGTATGAAGTTCCCTCCTCCTCAATATTTTAAAAACCCAAACAGAAAACACCAAACGTGCCCCAGAAGGCATTTCCGCAGGTGGTGACGCGGCTGCATCGGAGTGTCTGAAGGATGTGAGGAAGGAAGAGCGGCGTCAGGAACCTTCCTTTGCAAGCTTGGGAAGGAGGTCGAGAGACCATCAATTCGAGGGAGCAGCAGTATTGAATTTCTTTTTCTCTTCAGCATTAGAATTAATGTATTTGCTTTCTGTTGCTGTGATAAAACACCAAGGCCAAGTTAGGGGACGGAAGTGTTTGTTTGACTTACAAGCTTCAGTCCACCGAGGGGAGTCAAGTCAGGGACTCCAGCAGACACAGTGGAGGGATGCTGCTTACTGGCTTGCCCCCCAAGGCCTGCTTGGCCTGCTTTCTCACCTGCTGAGGGGGACGCTGCCTATAGTGGGCTGAACCTATGCTCCCTGCCCCTGAGGTGTTTGGCTTTGGTTAGAGGCAAGGTCACTTGCATGTACTGGAATTGGTATAGGGGGATAATAGATTGGAGGTAGCTTTATTTGACCTAGGATCAGCATACATGTCATGGAGCAATTGCAGACCATTTACTTGTGATGTAGTTAAAAAGATATTTTGTGAGTTTTTCCCCTGTAAAAGTAATTGGGGGTCATTAATTAGCAACAAGAATATGAAGCACTTTTGAATGCAATGGGCATTATCACTGAAGTAATTAACCAGAAAACCCATGCGCTTGGCAGGAAAATGAGTAAAGTCAAAATGAGAGCTCTGAACCAGGAATAGAGGTGGTGAGAACCTTAGTATAATGAAGGTGAGCAGTAAAGGAATGAAAGAGTTTGGAGATCCAGAGTTTCTGGGGATAGAAACCACAGAGCCAGTCATGAAGACACCCATGTTAACTGAAAGTTGGATGGCTATGTATTTTCACTGTGACTTCTGGTTCTTAGAAGGGCTGCACATATGAATGGTCTAATATTTACTTTTAGTTTGTGTTTATGTGTGGGTGCCTACATGCATGTATGTACACCGCATGTTCACTATTGGTACCCAAGGGAGCCAGAAAGGGGTGTTAGATTATGTAAAAGTGGCATTAAGAGCAATTATGAACTGCCACGTGGGTACTGGGAACCTAACTCAGGTCCTCTGCAAGAGCATCAAGTGCTCGAAGCACTGAGCATCTCTCCACCTCTGCATCACCTACTTATTTCATTATTTCTGTTTTTTCCACTTACTTATTTTTAAGTGCATTTAAACACTTGTAATTATTAGTGTGTATGTGTGTGTATGTACTATGGTATGTGTGTGGAGGTCAGAGGACAGTGTCAGGAATGGTTTCTCTCCTTCTACCACATGGTCCTGGGGATTGAACTCCACTTAGCAGGTTTGGTTGGTGGCAGATGTCTTTACTCACTGAGCCTTCATTCATTTTTTTTGATGTGGGAGGATTGAACCTAGAGCCTTAGGAATTGTAAGCATGCTTTGAACCGCTGAGTGTAGAATACTTTCAATAGAAGTAATTAGGTCTCCCAAAATTCTGATACTAAAAGGTCTAGGATCTGTTTGTTCTAGGTTGTGCTATCTAATATGGTAGCCACTGGCCACATGTTCCTGCCCTGCCTTTTCCTTTTAAATTTTAACACAGGGTCTTTGTATATGCTAAAATACAAGCCAGGATGACTTTGAATTTTCAGTCTTGCCCCAGCAACCCCCATGTATTGGGATTACAGGCATATTCCATGATACCCAGCCACATAAGTATTTGAATTAAGTTCTGCTATAGGTATAAAATAACAAATTTTGAAAACATAGTGAAAAAGGTAAAATTATTTAATTAGTAACTTAAAAATATTCATTATATGTTAATATATGTACTTGTATTATATTCTGGAGAGCATCTGGGGTGACTCTTGTATATCCATGGTGACAGTTACGGCCCTGAAGGATGCTAATAAGTTAAAAGCTGTCTGGGCTTGCCCTCAGAGAGTACACAATCTAATGGAGGAAGAGAAAAACTAAGAAACAAAGGCTTCTGTAACTGATGTGCTCCACTGTACAGTACTCAGACTAATTGAGAAGTAAGTAGAGTTTAGAAGCATATCAGAACAGAAATAATCCAGTTTGTAGGGGAGCATGACTTGTGTAATCAAGGACAGGTGAAAACTGAGCCCTACGAAGTAGGCTCTAATGCCAGTGAAGGAATGGATTGCTAGCAAGACAAGAGCAAACAGGCAAAGAGCGAAAGCTTCCTTCTTCCAAGTCCTTATATAGGCTTCCAGCAGAAGGTGTGGCCCAGAGTGAAGGCAAGTGTTTTCCCACATCAAGATCTGCAATAGAGATGTATCTTCCTATTTCAAATTAAGCAAAAAAAAAAAAAAAATTCTCACAGGTGTGTCCTCCACTTTTGCGTTTAGTTAGTTCTAGAGGTTGTCAAGTTGACAACCAAGAATAGCCATCACATTCTCCAAGGTATTCAGTTAGATATCTGAGCCAGGGTCTCTATTGTAGCCCAGGCTGGCCTCCAACTTGAGATCATTCTTTTTCTGTCTCCCAAGTGTTGGGGTGGAGGTAGACACATGCCTGCGCACATACCATAGATGTATGTATGTGTGTATGTATGTATCTGTGCATCTCCAGTCGGAGTGAGAATGTGTTTGCATATGTATGCAGGTTGAGGCCACAGGTCATTCCTTAGGACTTTGACTACTTCTTTTTTAATTTGATGTATATTTTGCCTGTGTGTCTCTGTACCACTTGTATGCCAAAGGGGTGCATCAAATCCCCTAGCACTGAGGTTACAGATGGTTGTGCGCCACCATATAGGTTCTGGGAATCAAACCTAGGTCCTCAGGAAAAGTGCCCAGTGCTTTTAACTTCTGAGCCATCTCCTGACCCCCTTTGAAACAGGTTTCTTACTGACCCGAGGTTTCCCAGTTCAGCTAGACCGTCCAGACAGGAGACCTCAGGGACCCACCCATCTCTGCCTCTGTAGCTCTGGGACTCCTGGGGTGCGTCACCATCTGTAGCCTTTTTACATGGGCTCCTGACAATCAAAATTTGGGATCTCATGTGTCCATGAGTTTATTGACTAAACTATTTTCCTAGCCCCACACTTTAGTGTGTTTTAACAAGATAAATGTTAATAAAGTTTAATTCTTCAAGGAAGACGTTTTAAGAGTATGCTAATTTTATGTAAATGTTACTACATCTGTTACATCTCTTTTTTTCTTAGATATATAGACATATTTAACTGGAATGTATTTTAAACAAAGCTTTATTTATAGGATTTGCTGACTTGGCAAAATAAAGACTATGGGTCAGCTCGGAGTATCATTCGTATTATTGGGAAAATGCTTCCCTTAGAACCTTGTCGAAGACCTAATTTTGAGGTAAGTTAGTCACCATGCATTGTTTAAGCCCTGTGTGTGATTAATCCTGGGTACTCTCAGGAATATAGGAGAGAAGGAAAAAGAAGAAATGTGCCTGCCAGCCAAGGACCTTTACTGCTAGAAATAAATCATCTCACACATGTTTTTGTTTCTTTAGTGATGTCCAAAGACAGGTACAAAGAATACCTGGGAGCTTGTTTTCACCTTACTTTCCTTATATTTTTGCTGTGTGATTGATGAGACTAGCCATGGGGAGAAAATGTTATATGCTTAGGTAGTAGAGTAGCTTTTCTCCAGCGTTTTCCCTTTTCTGTTTTGGACTGTTAACTTACTTAATATGATGAAGCATGAGGCATGCGTTTTCCCTGATTCCTGATGGAGCTCTGAGTTTGTCTCCATTTTTGTTTTAGATGATCCCACGCTTGAGCTCTGAGGAATTTGATGATTATGAACCTATGGTTCCATCTTTTGCTGACGTTTTGTGTGTGGCAAATGATGAAGAAGCCGGTTATCTCAGATTTCGGTAATTTTATAATGTGCTTGTCTTGGGACATGGATGTAGCCTAAAACTTGAATTCTTGCATGCACTGAAGTTTGTTCCTCCTTACTGGACAGTTTTGTCCTGTTTTTGTGATATGCTATGTCCTGATATTACCCTAATATCAGGGATGGCATCTCATATTTTAGTATATTTTAAAAAATGTTCTTTGTATTTAAATTTTTGAACGTTATTTTTCCCTTTTATACACAAATGCATTTTATTTTTATCAAATCACCCCTCACCCTTCCATTCCAACTCTTCCTATATCCTCTCTACTCTTCCCAATTTCATGTTGTCATGTATGTGTGTGTGTGTGTTTGTGTGTGTAAAATCTGAGTCCAGTCTGATTAATGATGTCTGCATGTACTTGGGTGGAGGGCTGTCTTTTTTAGGACCTGAAGTACATTGCTTCAAGATCTCTTGACTTTTAAAATTTTCATTGAGAAGTCAGCTGCTATTCTAATGGATTTGCCTTTATTTGAATTGTAACTTCTTTCCTGGAGGTTGCACATCCTTTATTTTTTTGTATGTTCAGCGTTTTAACTATAATTCGGCATGAGTAATTTCTTTTTGGTCCAGTGGTGGTTCTGTGTGCCTCTTGGCTCTGAATGGGCATCTCCTTATTTAGTTTTAGGGCATTTTCTTCTATGATTCTATTGAGTGAATGATCTATGCCTTTGGCTTGGAATTCTTCTATTCCCATGATTCACAGATTTTCTCTTTTCAGTTTCTCCTAAAGTTCCTGTGTATTCCTTTCTTTTTTACTTTTCTTTAAAAGATTTATTATGTATACAATATTTTGCCTCCATGTATGCCTGCAGGCCAGAAGAGGGCACCAGATCTTATTGCAGATGGTTGTGAGCTACCATGTGGTTGCTGGGAATTGAACTCAGGACCTCTGGAAGAGCAGATAGTGTTCTTAACCTCTGAGCTATCTCTCCAGCCTATATTCCTTTCTTTAATTTACCATTTTATTTGAGTTTGTAGTACATTTCTTCTACTGTTTCTTCAGATTCTGATACTCTGCTTTCTACCACATCCATTCTGTTGGTAAGGCTTTCCACTGAGTATTTTGAATGGGTGGTTGAATTTTTTATTTCCATCTTAATTTGTATTTGCATTTTCTTTAACATTTCAATCTCTGTTAAATTTACTTTTCATGTCCTAAATTGTTTAATTATTTCATTTGTTTGTGTTTTCTTGGACTTATCCAGGAATTTATTTTTGTTCTTTTTAGGTTTGTTCAGGTGTTTGTTTCCTGTTTGAACTCTTTGAACTCCTTATAGTTTTTCTTTCAAAATTCTGCATCTTGAGATTCATTTGAATTCTTTTTGATGAGAAATATTACTGTAGATTGGTGATATTGGGGGCGCATATTGTCTTGATCTTTTTCATGTTGTTTATATTTTTACAGTGGGACCTTGGGCATCTGAAGTTAGGTTGTGGAATTGATGGGGGTTTTGTAGTCTACCTATGTTGAGTGGGTGTTTTTTGGGTTTGTTTATTTCCTGTTACTATATTTGGACTGGTTTCAATCCAGGCAGGAAGTCCTGGGCTTGCTGATCAAGGCTGGCTGTGCAAGTGATGGGTTGAGGTCTCCAGGACAGGTGGAATGAGGCTGGGCTGTCAGCAGAGCCCCTGGATGCCTTGTTCACAATTACACCTAACAACAGGTCTACAAGTTAGTGGGTTAGCAAGCGTGTATCAAGGTCATATTAATATTGTTTTCTGTATTATAAATAAAGAGTTTAAAATAAATGTTAGAGTTAATTCAGCCTTCTATCATAGTTTCCATATGGACTCTGTGTTTATGGGTTCTCATACGTGTTCTACACAATGAAATCAAATATGATAGATGGAAACTATTTAGAGAGAAAATTCTAGAAATTTCCTAAAAGCAAAATCTTGAATTTGTTATATTTCAAATACTATGCTATACTTATAAAAATGAAGTAACATATGAGAGTCTTATATTAGGTATCTTAAGTATTTTAGAGATATCTTAAAGTAAGCAAAGAATATCTATAGGTGCCTTGTTATGTAAGGAACTTGAGCATCTTTGGCTTTTGGTGTCTGCAGAGTTCCTGAAATAAATTACTCCATGAATACTGAAGTGGGCTGGCTATATTTCAAATTTTGGATGTGTTCATCCTCCTAGAAAGTACTGATTTATATGTTAGAATAATCAGATAGAGGTTTTTAGCATCCTGAATGTCAATTACTCAAAGATTCATCTAATTTTATTATGTGTCAAACTGGTTTATTAGTTTTTAAAGAAATCAGAAGATATAAACTGACCCTAATAGAGTCCTGAATGCAAGGCCCTTCTGAGCCTTATTATGTAGAATTATATAGAATTTCTGAATAAGCTTACACATTTTGGGGTGGTGGTGGTTTTTGAGACATTGTTTTTCTGTGTATCTTTGGAGCCTGTCCTGGAACTAGCTCTTATAGACCAGGCTGGTATCGAACTCATAGAGATCCGCTTGCCTCTGCCTCCCAAATGCTGGGATTAAAGGCATGCACCACCAATACCTGGCTAAGCTTATACCATTTAAAGTTAGTCAGTAAAACAATTATAGGGTAACTATTTCTGTTTTACAATTTGAGGAAGATTCATTTTCTCATTTCTTTGCTGCTTATTGAATGCAAAAGTAAAGAATAATAGGAGGTGCTTTTTCTTGCTGAGTCTTGGGATCATCTTAGGGCAAAGAGAGGTACTCTGATTTTATGTAGCTTTTTGTTTATATTTGTGTGCTAGAGATTAAACCCAGGGCCTTGCACGTGCTAGGCCAGCACTCTGTATTGAGCCACATCCCTGGCCCCTGTTTTCTTTTCCCTAAAAATGTATTTATTTATTTATTTGTTATTTGTATGTGGTAGGGAAGGGAGTATGTGTCTGTGAATGCAGGTGCTGTGGATTCCTGGAGCTGGAGTTTCGGGGGTTAAACAACCTGATTTGGATTCTGGGATCCAGGTCAGTCTGAACTTCATGAGAATCTGTCTCAAAAGAAAAAAAACAAGACAAAACAAAAAACTAACTTTACAAGAATAGTGTACACTCTTTAACCACTGAGCCATCTTCTCTCCAGCTGTTTTTCTTTTTCTTTCTCTTTTTTGTTTTTTGAAACAGGGTTTTTCTGTGCAGCCCTGACTATCCTGGAACCTGCTTTGGAGGCCAGACTGGCCTTAAACTCACAGAGATCCTACTTCCTCTGTCTTCTGAGCACTGTGTTTAAAGGGGTGCACCACCACTCCTAGCTGAGTTTTTCATTCTCAGTTGAACATTTTCCTTTCTTTGTTTCTTCTTTCCTTTCACCCACAGACATAGTCTATGGAAAAAGGAGGAGGAAGGGAAAATTGCTCTTTTCCATTCTCCAAAACTAATTTGGGATCCATCATCACCTACTCTAAGACAGAACAAACCAGTAGAAAATGATCTGCCAGCAAGTGAAGCTGCAATTAAAAAGATAGCTGCTCTTGAAGATGAACTCACTTTTCTTCGGTCTCAGATCGCTGCAATTGTGGCGATGCAGGAGCTGAGAGAGAGTAAAGAGACTGGTGAGTAATAGTACGGGACTTTTGTTTCTGCGAGAGTGATACTGAGCTGATACTTAAGTCAGCACCATTCTGAACGTAAACAACAGAAAATACAGCATAGAAGGCGATTGCCATATGCAATTATGTCAGAGTAGACCAGGCTGGCCTCAAACTCACTGAGATCCACCTGCCTCTGCCTCCTGAGTGCTGGGATTAAAGACTGCATCACCACTGCCCAGCAAGTCATGACTTCTAAGTAAGCTTTTCTTATTCTTCAGCCAAGAATTGGAAGCCAGGTATGCAAGAGGCTGAAACAGGAGGATTGCCTTGAGTTCTAAGTCAGTCTTGGCTGTAGAATGAGAACATGTCTCACAAACCAAAAATGTGGCCTGGGGATAGTTGACAGGATCTTGTTCATGAGGTTTTGGGTTAAACCCACAGTATGACATAAGGCAGGGCATGATTGTGTACACCTGTAATTCTAGCACTTGGGCAGTAGAGGTAGGAGGACTAAACGTTCAAGTTATTTGTAGTAGCTACACAGAGTCTGAGGTTAGCCTGGGCTTTATGAAAACCTCTCTCAGAAACACCAAAACAAGGCAATAAAAAACTAATACCCATTCCCCCAAACTATTAATAATAACTTTTCTAAAAGTTTAAAATTACTTATTTTTATTTCTTAATTTTTATTTAAATTAAAAACAATCTTATTTTACATTTCAATTCCAGTTCCCTCTTCTTCTGTCCTCCCATTCCCCCCACCAACTCCCCACCCCACCCCCTATCCACTCCTCAGGGAGGGTGAGACCTCCCATGGGGCATCATCAAAGTCTGTCACTTCATTTGGGGCAGGACCTAGACCCTCCCCCATGTATCTAGACTGAGATAGTACCCCTCCATAGGGAATGGGCTCCCAAAGCCCATTTGTGCACTAGGGATTAAATACTGGTTCAGCTGCCAGAGGCCCCATAGACTGCCCAAGCCCCCCAACTGACACCCAGGGGACCTGGTTTGGTCCTATGCTGGTTCCCCAACTGTCAGCCTGGAGTCTGTGAGCTCCCACTTGGTCAGGTCAGCTGTTTCTGTGGGTTTCTCCAGCATGGTCTTGATTTTTTGCTCATCATTTCTTCCTCTCTACAACTGGATTCCAGGACTTCTGCTCAGTGTTTAGCTGTGGGTGTCTGCTTCTGCTTCCATCAGCTACTGGGTGAAGGCTCTATGATGTTATATAAGGTAGTCATCAATCTCATTGTAAGGGGAGGGCACTTAAGGTAGCCTCTTACTATTACTTAGATTGTTAGTTGGGGTCATCCTTGTGACTCCCTGGAGATTTCCCTAGTGCCAGGTTTCCTGTTAAGCCCATAATGGCTCCCTCTATTAAGGTACCTCTTTCCTTGCTCTCCTTCTCTGTTCTTTCCCCAACTCGACCTTCCTGATCCCTCATGTTCTCTACCCCCCACCTCTCCACCTCCCCACCCCCGTTTATTTTTATTTAATGTGCATTGGTTTTTATTTAATGTGCATTGGTTTTTTTGCCTCTGTGTGCGTCTGTATGAGACTATCAGATCCCCTGGAACTGAGTCTGCCATGTGGGCCCTGGGAATTGAATTGGGTTCCTCTGAAAGAGCAGTCAGTGAGTCACTGAGTTATTTGTCTAGTCCCATAAATAATTTTTGAAAAGGAAATTAAATAATGGAGGTTATGGAGGAAGAAAAGATGTGTTGGCTTCAAAGAGCATAATAAACTTGAGACCATGTATATTTATAGTCTAGTTGTTTTTTCTTTTAGCTTTTTTTTTTTAGATTATGTGCATGAGTATTTGCCTGCACTGTATGTCTGTGTACCATGTGTGTACCTGCTGCCCACAGATGTCAGAGGAAGACATTGGATCCCTAGTACTGGACTTAAAGGTGGTTGTGAGCCGCCATGTGGGTGCTGGGAGCTGAACTTTGGTCCTGGAACAAGTACTGCTAACAGTTGGGCCATTTCTCTAGCCCCTAATCTTTAGACAATTTAAAAAAGAATTATTTTCTTGGGCCTGGAGAATGGCTCAGCAGTTAAGAACACTGACTGTTCTTCTAGAGGACCTGGGTTCAATTCCCAGCGGCCACATGGTAGCTCACAACTGTCTGTAACTCCAAAATCAGACAAACATGCAGGCAAAATATCAGTGCACCCACAATAAAAATAAATAAAAAATATTCTCTTTTATGTGTATGGGTGTTTTCCTGCATGTATGTGCACCATGTGCATCCCTGGTACTTCCAGAGACTAGAAGAAAACATCAGATCCTCTGGAACTGGGGTGAGAAACAGCTGTGAGCCACCATGTGGGTCCTGGGAATTGAACTCAGGTCCTCTGTAAGAGCAGTTGGTTCTCTTAACTGCTGAACCATCTCTTCAGCTTGTCTTTAGTTTTGATGATACACTCTCACAAAGTTCAGGTGGATAATACTCCCCAGATGTCCTTTTTTTTTTTTTTTTAAAGATTTTGGATATGTGTCTTGCTTTAAACATAAAATTTAGGGTCTGGAGAGTAGGCTCAGTGGTTAAGAGCGTATACTGGTGTTCCAGAGGACCTGAATTTGGTCCTTAGTACCTGTATTGGGTGACTCATACCATTTATAAACCCAACTGGAGGGGAATCTGACACCGTCTTCTGTCCTCCAAGTTCACCTGCTCTCACATGCACATACTCCATTATACAAAAAGAATTCTTTTCACAACAGATTTGGTTGTAAGGGGCTATGTGTAAATATGATTACTAAAATTTTACATAAATATTTATGTGGGTATAATATACAAATAACATGTACTGATACAGCATATATTTGCAATATAACATATATAGTTAAATCATATACTACTTTATATATATATAAATATTTATTCATGCATATACTCTGTTTTTTAGTAAGGATGTTTCCTCACAGCTCTTTAGGAGCAGAGTTTTAAGAACGTTAAATACTTATCTTAGGATATCACCTGTAGAGTCATACACCTGCCTCTCAAATGTTGTTTTAGAGTGTATACATCAATTTGAGTACTGCTACCTAGAAGTTGTTAATGTTTTGCTTTTAAAACCGGAGAGTGAAGCTGAGATTTTTCCTATGGATTCCTAGAAGTCACTTTATTTCCCATTAAACTGCATCCTCAGGGTGTGCCCTGAGACGTCCTGACTGGATGGCCGTTCATAGGGGTTACTCAGCGGATGGGATTGGCTTGCTGTCTTGGCTGCCTTGTCGGTAGCTTAGCAGCATCACAGAGGCTGTTAGTGGTTTAATTCCTGCAGTTTTATATATTATGCAGGAGAGAATTGTGCACAGTTTTGGTTTTTCAACGGACTACTTTGCTTTAGGCATCTGTGACCTGAGTGATGAACCCAGCGTGGAACACACACTGCCATCAGTAGCTGCTGGGCTGAGTGTGGAGGCAGAGCACTCTCCAAGTTCAGTACTTTCCTCTCCTCCTCCACCACCACCTCTGCCTCAGTTGTCTCTCCAGCCATGCCTTCCTCCCATGCAGTCTGGGTCTACTAACAGAGACCATCCAGCAGCTGCAGTGGGAAAGCAGCACTCGGGTGTTCACAAGGCAAATGGTAGCCATCATTCAGAAAGCCAGAGAGTTAGTGACGTTCCAAACATGTTGGACATTCTAAAGGACATGAATAAGGTCAAACTTCGTCCCATTGAAAGGTATGTCACTAGAATTTGGGGAAGGAACTGAAATTTTATTCGTTTTCAGAGAAATTGTTTGAGAGTTGATGTGTGTATCTTATTTCTTACCTCCTGGGGCCACCCTCTGGGAAACAATCACCTTCAGTTCTTTTTATTGACTATTTCTTCTATTGTCTTATGATACTTGTTTTTTTTTTTTTGCATGTTAATTATACTTACTCCATCTTGTAAAGAATTAGGAATACAGTAGTTCCTTCTACCTAACATTTTGCTTTCTCTGAAGTTGGTTACCCTTCAATAGAAAGTTCTAGAAGTAGCATGATCAGATAGTTGTAATTCATTGAAGACTGACTGAATGTGATCAAATTAATGAACAACCAGCCAAATGATGTTCTTTTTGTAAAATCTAATCTAGTCCTTTCAAACATTCTTAAAAGTTTTTTTCCCCCTGAGACGGGATTTCTCTGGCTATCCTGGAACTCTCTTTTTAGACCAGGCTTATCTCAAATTCAAAGTGATCTGCCTGTGTCTGCCTCTTGAGTGCTGGGATTAAAGGTGTGCATCACAATGCCTGACTCTTAAAGGTTTCTTTAAATTCTATTCAGTGGTGCTGGACATCATGGCTGTACTCGATTGCAGAAGCAGGATCACAAGTTCAAGACCAGCCAGCCTGGTCTACCTAGTGAATTCTATAGTGGGAAATTAGAAGGTTAAAAATTAAGGTTTGTAGCAGTGAAAATGAGGGACCTCAGATCGTGTTAAGTTGTGGGAGACCCCAATCCGTGTGGTTTTTCTTGGTTTTCTGAGTTTGAATTCTTAGTACTTTTTAGATTTCTTTATTCACAGCAGAAATCTCTTAAAGACTAATTAGATTATAATATATTATGCTCATATTCCTGCTGTGTTTGTGAACAAAGAGCTAAAATTGCATCAAAGTTTTAATGTATTTGATTTCTCTTTTAAAAATAGGTCACCAGGTGGTAGACCCATTCAGAAGCAGAAAAGACAGAGTTCACAATGGGATCCAGTATCTTTAATAGCCAATGCACTTAAGCAGAAGTTTGCATCTCAAGATGATTCCTTTGATACAGAAAATAGATCTTGGGAGTGCTCTCCATTTTCTAGTCCAGAAACTTCACGGGTGAGTTGTGGTGATAAAGGATTAACTTATTTTTTCAAGTATGTTCTTTATGATGGGCTTTACACACAGATTCTCTTGAAGTTTTTATGTAGGATAAGTTAAACATTGCTTTCTATTATCTATTTATTTGAGGTGAGATCTCACATGGTAGCCCAGACTGGCCAGGAGCTTAGGAAAATCCTCCTCCTTTAACATCTCAAGTGCTAGAATAGAGCTGTGAGGTGCTATGGAGGACTTATCCATTAGTTTTTTTTTTTTTGTTTTGTTTTTTTATGCTAATCTTTTTCTTTCTTTCCAATTTTGCATTATTGTTTTTGCTTTTAGCTTCTCATGAGGTAAAACACGATTTGAAAAATGCAGATGCACACGCTTACAATGGTTTTCCCTAGGTAGGTGCTAAGTCGATGTTATCTGTAGTAGGAATGAGATACTTGAAATTTTAAGGACCAGGAAAGAGGTGTGTAGTTGAGTCAGCCTAACCATACTGCATGTGAACACTCTATTATGTTTGCTGTCACATATGAAGGGTTCAGATTATTTAGTTGAATGGAATCTTTTTTTAAAAAAAGAGCAAAAGGATCATAGTCTTGCCCCCTACTTTCTCCTCCTGAGATAGGGTCACCATGTTGTTCTGACTGGTCCTGGTCCAGTACTTACTGTGTTGAGTTCTGCCTCTGTCCTGAATGCTGAGATTAAAGGCTTGTTGCCACCTGGCCAGAATCAAAGTTATCTTTAAAGCAGTATTATTTGGATGCATAACAAGGTATACTTTAAGGGGTGATTTTCACTTGTTTAGTTGAGGTCAGTTATAAGAATAAATCTTTTGCAATCAAGAGGACTGGATGTGGGACAGCATCTGAAATCAGTAGATAGCACTCGAGTGCCCTGCAGCAGAGAGACACTGGAAAACTGAAATGCCTGTGACTGCTCAAATAGCATAACAGTGTGGGAGGTGTGTGTCTTTCAGGAAGGCACATTAGGTGCAGTCCATAAGGTTGCCACTGTGTGTGTATGTGGTGCTTAATCAGTTGTTAACTTAGAAAATGGTATTTTTTTTTAAAAAGATTTATTTATTTGTTATGTAGGTAGTGTTCTGCCTGCATGTATTCCTGTAGGCCAGCAGAGGGCACCAGATCTTATTACAGATGGTTGTGAGCCATCATGTGGTTGCTGGGAATTGAACTCAGGACCTTTGAAAGAACAGCCAGGGCTCTTAACCTCTGAGCCATCTCTCCAGCCCCCAGAAAATGGTATATGTAGCTATGTGTTCTGCTTATGTTAGTCACTCAAATCTTAGATGGAGATACTTGGAAAATGAACAAACAATAACAAAAGTTCTTCTGCACCTATAGTGAGCACATAGACATCTTTATTTTTATTTTTTTCTTAAACTATTTCCAGAACTTTTACAGTGTACACAGGAAGACTATTGTCCAGTGGTAGTGGATCAGTGAAAGTATCACTGGGTTGTAATGTGCTGTTTGATGCTTGTTCCTTGTATTTCTTAGTGCTTTCTTTAAAAACTAAAAAAAAAAAAATTGTGTTTGTGTGTCTCAGCTTGAGGAAATTGGTTCTCTCTTCCCACCTCGTGGGTCCTGGTGATCCAACTCATCCTCATGTCTGGAGACAGGTGTCTGTCCCCACAGAGCCATTGCCTTTCTTTTCTTAGTACTTTCTAACCTCAGGAGAAGCGGCATCTTTATTTACTTCAGTAGCACTTAATATCAGGTTGGGTATGGAGACTCATACCATTGTCGACCGAAACCTCCCAGGGGTTTGTGTTCACAGCTGGTGCCAACTGAGGGGTGCTGGGGCTGCTACACAGGCCTCAAGTCATAGGGGGCATGTTTGTAAAGGGAATTGTGGCACGCTGGCCCTTGTCTGGTTCATCTGATTCCTGGCTCAAGAGATGAATGGTTTTGCCCTTCTTCGTACTCCTGCTGTGGTAGATGCCCCTCATGGCTGTCAGCCTTGGGCTGGAACTATGAGCCACATGAACCTTCAGCTCTGAGCACAGCTCCTGACATCGCTTATTTTCATTATGTGCTGTGGAATGAACTAAACCTCTGAGGTCATCTAATACTTGGTACTTGCCTGGCTTTTTGCTTTCTTTGTCCCCCCCTCCCCTTTTTAATGTTTCAGTAATTTCTGTTTTAAACATTTGCTTTTTTTCAGTTTTGATGTCACATTTCTCCAACAAAAGGTCAGCGATCTAAGGGAAGAACTGATAATATAAAAGCAATTACTGAAGGTCAGAGGTGAAAGCTGTGCCTACGCTTGGGTGGACAGATCGAGAAATGCCCTGTGGATTCCTTCATTGCCTTGCAGAGAATCACAACCTCTGTTAGGGAGACTAAGCCATATCCTGGGACCTATCTGTACCCAACCTGAGGAAGATGTTTAAACATGCTTGTCCCTGGTTTTGGAAGTCTAATAGTTAACTGGCTACTGAAGAGTTGGGTGTATAGATTCCCCACTTTATGTGAGTGCTACTGAAAATGGAATGTATGCTTCAGAGATTTCCTAAACAACTCTGGCTTCCTCCTTATGCTCCTATGTAAGTTGGTATGATGTGGTTTATTTGACCTTCAGCAACTTGGAGATTTTCAGAGAGCAAAGGATAATTCTTTTCATTAAGAAAGTCATAGTTTTAGTCATGTAGGATTGGACTTTTTAAAACTTACTGAGGTAATAAATTATTTTGACTGCCAAGTGCTATAAGTAGAAGTAGACTCTTGAAAAAGTTTTACCCACACTGGCTTTGTACATACACATGCCTAGCATGTTTCCATGCTTTCTATTACATTTTCACTGGCTTTGTACATACGTATGTCTGGCATGTTTCCCTTGTTTTCTATTACATTTGCACTCTACTTTTTTTGTAAATAGATTGTACAATAAATGGATCTTTTGATCTTGGTTGGCTTTTATAACATTTCAAGTTATATTCTTAATATTTTATGAAGTCTGATTTCTTTGTGAAGAGGTAATTGTGTAGTTAGAGCTTCTTGGGGCATAAAATGAAACATAATTTGCAGTAGACATTCTCTCCTCATCTGTATGATAATGTGATATATAAATTTGCATTTTTCCCTACATGCTTTAGTCAGGGAACAGGGAGGTAGAGTCCATGTCAGTGGACTCAGCACCCACCCACTTTGCCAGGTTCTCTGATTTCAGAAGAGCCTAACTTGCCTATCACTTCTGTTTATTCGTTAAGATTTATTGTAAAGAACTTACATCATGCAATAGGGTCTCCATTTTGAGTGGCACTTATGGCTAGCCTTAGTGCTTTTCCTGTATTGACTCATTCAATCCCCACATCAATAATATGGGTGTAGGTTTTTGTTACCCTCACTCAGTAGATGAGAAATGGCAGAGGAAGTTACTAGCCCAGTTAATCTCCCAGGACCTCACAGCTTATTAAATGGCGAGTTAGGATTGAATCCAGGCAGATGGGTTTTCCAACCTACAATTTGACCATGAGAAACATTTTAAACACTTGCAAGATTTTAACCTACTCATTTAAACTTTGTGTTATTATTGAAAGCGTCTCAGACAGTTCACAGATAAAGTGTCTAAAAGCAGTGTAGCAACAAATTTGAAATACCCTTGAAGCTCTAACTTTCTGTATTTACCACTAGAGGGAAGTATAACACCGAGCATACCCAGGCTGCCAGCAGCTGTTAACCACATCCAGATGACAACTGTTTAGAAGTCATAGACAAAACAAGGTTAGATTGAGTATTAATTGCAAAGCAGCCTATATAAAGGGAAGTAATAAATTATAGCCATATCCTTGACACACACATCATTAAGCTAATTCAACTTTCCCCCAGGAAATAGATACCTATCTTTAATTAAATTATACTTATTTATTTGTTTTATGTGTGTATGTGTAGATCGGAGAAAAGTTTTCAGGAATTGTTTGTAGGGGCTCTGGAAGATCAGTTTCAAGTCATCAGGCTCTATGGCAATACTTTTACCCACTGAGCCATCCTGCTGGCCCACAAATAGATATTTGTTAAAAGTCAAAGCCATGGTATTGTTTAATTTTTAACATTCAAGATTGTTGTAGTTCCTAAGATTGATATGACTATTTTATTGTTGGGAAAAGCACAGGGATTACTGTGAATAGCATGAATACAAGTTTTGCTTTTTTCTCAGCTTTGTCTTGGTAAGGTGATAGGAATTTTACTGAGTAACTAGAGTTTATGCATGCATTGTAATACATGTGTAAGCAAACCACAAGAGCTTGCTTAAGGAGTATCAAGGATTTATTAAGATATGAAAAGGGAAAACATACTCACAAATACAGGATATGGTAAATCCAGTTGCAGAGTCCTTGGAAAGCTAGGGACCAATCACATGCTGCTTCACACCACCTGATCCAGTCTTCACCACTCAAGAGAGTGCGGCCCCCTCCCTCCTTTTTTAAGAGGTCATGCTTGTAGGCAAGAAGCATCGATTGCCTCTATTAGGCAGAAAGCCCAAGGTAATGGGTGGAGCGAATACCCACTACATACATACTATTGTCAGCCCTCTCCGGAAGCCATACCATGCTTTCTCTTTCATAATCCTGTTTGTGGTTAGATGATGACTAATCTTAACAGCCAAATTCAATGCACATTTAATTTGTATTAACGTGTCAGCCACAATACTGAGCACTTTAATAAACTTTCATTTGTCAAATCCTTTCTATAACTTCCTCATAGGCACCATCATACTCTTCAGAGGAATGGAGAGGTCAGTACTAGGCCTAAGATTATACCACTGTAAGCCGCTGAGCTACAATTCATGCCCCAGGCAGTGTGGCTCTGAAGTCTGAGCCTCACATGCTTCCCCCACCCTATGGCATCCGCCATTTCCTACGACTTCAGTCATGCTCAAGAGAGACATGCAACTTCTGGTCCACAAAAGGACACACAAGTACAACCCCATGTCTTCTCGTTTGCCCTTTCCACCACATAGGATTCCTACTCTTGCTTCAAGACGTTTTCCCTAAAGCCTTTCAGTGGGCGTGACCATTGCCTACTCTTTCACCCAGAACCACAAATTTCTCTCTGCTGTTGGATCTGTTGCAATATTGCTTCCTGGACTGGCTTTCTCTAATTCTACCAGGTTCTTTTGAGCAACTTGAGCATAAGAACAGGGTCTTATCTTACTTCCTTCTACACTCAACAGTCACTAGGTATATAGTTTACTTCATTTAGCACAGCTTCTCAAGAGAGATAGTTGTCCCTCTTCTATAGATGAAGTATATAGGACTCAGGCAGCTTATTGAAGGTCTGTTTCAACCAAGTGTAAGAGCTGGGACTGATCCCAGAGTGCCTGATTAATAATCTGTGCATGTCACTGTTAGACCTCTTTTGACACATGGTATCCCATTTGTCAAAATGGTCTTGATATAAATTTAAAACTCTCAGGGTTGGACCTAAATTGGATGTGGTTGTACATTTGAGAGGCAGAGGCAGGAGGATTAGGAGTTTAAGGGCAACTCAGCCTGCAAGAGATTGTCTCAAAAACAGTCCCCAAACTAGCTTGGTTTAGTGACCCAAAATTATAATTCTAGCTACCCAAGGCAGGAAGATTGCAAGTTCAAGGTAACTGTGGGTCACAGAGTGAGGCCAAGGTCAGGCTGGGAATTTAGACACTGTCACAAAAAGTAGAAAGACTCAGCACTGGACTGGCATTGCCCAAGGCTCTAGGTCCAACTCAGTATTGGGGGAAAAAAACGGTAACAGTCTTGGGTACAACCAGCCCAACCCTTCACCTGATCCACCTTCTGCGGCTGCTCCTGGTGTTAGTTGTGTGTCCCTTCAGTGTGGATGTCGTATTTCTTTTGTGAAGCAGCCTCCAGGGAGACTCCAGTGTGGCCATGGCCAACGAGAAACCCAGGGGAAGACTGAGCCAGAACAATGGTTTTACTGCCCTGAAGGTGGCAGGGCAGATGGTTCTGTGGTGCAGTTTAAGGTGAAGAGACAGGTACCACTTAGTGAGCTAATGACAGTCTGTTGTGAAGCCCAGGGTTTGTCTGTGGGGCAGATCACATTCCAACTGGATGGCAAGCAACCAGTGAAGTAGACATATCTGTGTACACCTGGGAGCGGAGGATGAAGACATGGAGGCAACCTACCAGCAGACAGGTGTCTACTGAAAAAACTTCCACGCCAGGGTTTTGTGATAGACCAGAAACACACTCTCATTAGGAAGACACAGTTTGGGTCTAGCGTGTCCCGCCTACCACAGTACAGCTTCTCTGTCCCTTTACTGTCCTTCCGTAACCTTACCGTGTTCTGCATAAAGCTGGCCTACTTAAAACACCAGCCAAGACTGAATGGCCAGTGTTCTGTTTCTGTAGACGTCAGATGGAAGCAGCATGAGGCAGGTACTGGGTCTGTGAAAATAGCCCCTTTCTCAGTTAGAGGCAGGGTCACTCAGCTCTTCATGGTCCAGGACCGTTTTTTGTTTTCATTGTTTTTACAGCAACGACAAAAACAAAACAACAACAACAACAAAAAAACAAACCAAAAATCCTTGCTTATCTCATTTGAGAATTTGAATGTTTTTATCATTGTAAAACTAAGGAGTGTTTTCTAACATTTTTACACATAGCTATTACATTAGGGCAATCTGTCTTCAAGTAGTGGTACAAAATGAATCCTAGCTTTCTCTGCAAGTGAAGCATTTTGTTGCTGAAACAACTACATTTGTGATTCCTAGCAGACTTTACTCAAGGAAATAAAGAAATAAAATGTAAGTTAATTGCTCAAACCTGTGCAGCTAGGTTTCCTAGCTAGGATTTAAACTAGGATTGCCTAAAGCCTTAAGAAGGCTAGACCTCCGGAGCTGTGTCACTGGGCTAGGAACCATTTCATTCCTGGGCCATGGAATGGCACTTTGGTCCTGACGGGGAGCTGGCCCTGGGGGCAGAGTGGAGGAATGGCTAACATCACTGACCACACTGTGGATCTAGTAGGTGGCCAGAGTCCTGCCCAGCCCAGGGATTTTTTTCTTCTGCTCATGGATCATGGAAGTGTCTACTCAAGAACTGTCTCGGATTCCGGAAACAACTTCAGAAGAGTAATTATTTGTCCTCTGAGGATGAATTTGATTTTTGAAAGTAGCCAGGCAAGAAACAAGCCTGAGGAATGAGTGGATGATGGAGCTGGATAATAAGTTTGGTTACCAGGAGGTATGATTTTTCAAGAGACTCGGGTGTATTTATTTATTTATATTAAGCAAGTGATGTGCTCTGACTCGGAGGCATTATTAGCTCCCTTTTTGTTCTGAGGAACATCTCAGGCCTTATGGTTGCATATCTTCCACACCCTGGATTTTAATGCTTGTATTCACTTAAGATCTGTCCTTGTGTGTTTATCCAGCTCCCAAGTGTGCAGGAGTGTTTTATTTGTGGTTGGTCGGGAATGTTTTATTTTTATTGGTTTAGTTATGAAAATCATTTAAAGGTGTGGGGAGATGGTTCATTGTAGAATGCCTACTACACAAGCTTCAGTTTGGCCTGCCTCATCCTAATGGGATGAACGGTGGAGGTGGCAGGACCCTGTCTCAGGGAGAGAGTCCTGTCCCGCCATGGTCTGCAGAGGACCTCATTTCCTGAGAATTATTCTGGACTTTGACAGTTCCAAGCCAGAGACAGAAGGTGGAATAGACTCTGAAGCCAGCTGCTTGTCACTGTTGGAGAGGCTGAGAACTGCAAAGTTCCAAGGGTGTAGTTAGAAGCCACATCCGCATCCCTCCAGCAGGGTGATAAGTACTCAGCATGTCTTGAAAGTCCAAAGCAGCTAGCATCTTTATGTTGTGGCTGCTTTCCAGACTCTCAACACATTTGGGAGATACCCCTCAGCCAAAACATTAGTTCTGCTAGAGTTTATGATCTGGGGTCTTGGTTGGGTGAGAGGACCCTCCC